GATTTGACTTCTATTTAATTTTATTAAACATCATATATAAATTAAATCTTAATATAACTGTTCTTCATATAATATCTATTCCCAGAACTATAGAGACGGTACATTTCTGTCACAAAACACCTTCATATAGTGTTCGTCACAAATTTGGTGTATTCGACACAAATTCTGTCGCAAGAGTAAATTTTTGGTATCGTGAAAATTCCGTCACAAAATTCCGTCAACAATCTGGTATCCTATCAAATTTAGTCAAGAATGTTTTTTCACCAAAACAAACAATCAATTGCATGCTTTGTAGTAACAATTTATCATGACTAAGGCGCCTTTAGTTCTCTAATTATGCACGCGTTTTTGTCGTTGTTATAATTAAGTTCTATTTTATTAGCTAAAAAAATCCATTTTTCTAATAATTTGATGTTTTAATTAGGTTTAAGAAACAAAACCTAATATATTTTCTTTAGTTTATATTATTTACTTAATATAAACAAATATATTTTTTTAACATATTATTTTATACAATTTATGTTCATATTTTACACTGTTAGACATGAAATGACCTTATTTATTGTTGCCATTAGAGGCATAAAATTAGGGTTGACCTTTGACTTATAAAAGTTATGCATGGTGTGTATGAATTTTTCTTTAAATTTGAAGTGCGTGGTAGATATGAATTCCCACTTACCTAATTTGTTACAAGTAGTCGTAGCCTTGACCATGGACAAAGTGTTGAAGGACGCATCAGATTCTTCACGTGGAGTCATTGAAAGTGGACGTGGAGCATGCATGAGCATGATATTGGTGGTAATCTCAAGAGTATGTATGCATGCATGGTTGGAACCATGATCATGCATTCAGCATGAGAAACTTCACGTGGGATCATGCCATGCATATATGCATGAATGTGGATACTGGTCAGAGTGCCTGCCCTACATTTCTGTGTATACTGTACTATTTATTAAGAACACGTAACTTGTAAACGTTGAATAAGAATTTATTCAAACTTTCATACACTCTAAATTTGGCTTCTCTATGTATTGTCAGCTTTTAGAAGTTACACCAATCGTAAAAATTTTGTTTCAAACTAAAGTGTCTGAATTTGAACTTTGAATTTTGCACTTTGAACTTTGAAATAAACTCATACTTGACACCTATTCGAGAATGGAAAGAAGACAGCGACTCAAAAGAAACCATTTTCACCTTCAATATGTCTTTGATCAAATAATTATCAAATGCATAAAGTCAACAAGGATCGTTCCTAAAAGTAGTAGTAATTCAGAATGATAGTATACCACAAAATGGTGTGTCATCAACTTTTGACTTTTGTTTTTCGAAAGTTTCATTTCATCATCCACCTCTTCACTTAAAGATTCCATAGTTTTGTGACCGATTTAAGAGGTTGAGTTATAAATAACATAACAACTCAATATTAGAAGCCGATATCAATGCTATATATATATATATATATATATATATATATATATATATATATATATATATATATATATATATATATATATATATATATATTCCAATCATTTCTCTAATCTCGTGATTTCTGAAAACAACTATTTTAATTAATGTATGGAAGTAAAGTCAAACTAATATTTTTAAGATGAAAAAAAATGTTGACACAAAATGTTAAGACGACCCACAAAAAAAAATCATACATTATTATAAGGTGGTTATGGGAATCTTTTTCTTGTATACTTTTGCTTCGGCATCACGGTTATTCCAATTGCAAAACCATATTTATTGTTCATGTTGACTATTTCTGGACAGAACCAAAACTTGGTTTATTTCACATTCATTTCCCATGGAAAAGTCAACCTGACCCCATTACAGACACAGAATAAATTTAGAACATTGGTTACTATGAGACACGTAGTGCAATGTGGGTGTGGAAATTGAAGTGCCTCTGCAAGAAAATTGAAGCATGCAATGCAATGGCAGAAAATTACGTGATTGGGAAGTGTGATGGCTTAAATTTCAACAAAAAAGTTAAAAAATATTATTTGAAAAAAAAAAAAAGTCATTCATCTACTTAACATCTTTAAATTTATACAAATTTTTCTCTTCACTCGTTAAATTTATACAATTTTTTCTCTTTAAAAAAAATATGTTGAAACGATATTTTTTGGGTAGGATATGAGATAAAATAACTCAAACTTTTAGTAAAATTATTTGTTTTTAAGATCTGACTTTGAATAATAAATATTTTGGTTAAATGAGATTTCATTAGAGAAATGAACTCAAACCTATGATGGAGGGAAGTGATATGAACACATGACAACAAATCTTGTTGAACTCATGAATTTTGTTTTCAAAGGAACACAAATTTTACCTATATTTGCCTACTAAAACAACTTTTGAAATAACTAAATCTTGATTTGTGAAAAGAAATATGAAAACAGGGTATAAGTTATGAGTATCCAAAATATATTGCTACACCGCTTAACAAAAATGCATAACATGCTCGAATATGTCATGTTCAAAGGTACAATCGAGATAATTATGAGTTTAATGTCCAAGACTAATCGAATCCCCATCATCATTAATGATTGCTAAATTATACAGTTTGATTAAATCAATGGTGGTGTGATTGTGAGGAATTTCAAACTCTTCGACTCCCTTGTTCTCATGTTATTGTTATTTATTCCTCTTACTATTTACAATTGTTGCATTTATCGATTCATTTTACAAGTTATAAAAGTATTCATAAGGCGTATGAATTTCAATTTTATCTGGTTCGAAATGAAGACTATTAGAATATTTATATAGGTCCAAAAATTTGTCCCGATTATAATATGCATCGACGAGATACGTCAAGAAAACATACAAGTAATCAGATTCAAAATAAAAATAGATGTAGAAATTAAAATTAAATCAAAAAAATATTCATTTAATTGAAATGAATGATGCAAACGATCTATTTTGACATTAAATTTTTATTTTTTAAAATAATATAATATTTTAATATAGATATATTGAATTAAATTTATCCATGTTTCTCTAAATATTTTTATTTTTCATTAAATTAATAATTAAATCAAAATTAATTATTTAATAAATAATATATTTAAAAAAAACTATTTTTTGAGAAAAACTTTGCTACCACCTTTTTATAAAAAAAAAATTAGCACGACTTGAGTAATAAACTTGCACATTTTACACAATTTAACGGTAAAATTAAATATTTTTTATCCCTTTCATCAAATCAACATTTTTTTACCTGTTTGATAAAAAAGCCGGGTGAGGAAATTGAAGTGCCTAAGCAAGAAAATTGAAGCATGCAATGCAATGGCTGGAAATTACGTGATTGGGAGTGTGTTTTGTTTGGGATTAATTTTATGACTTTTATATATATATATATATATATATATATATATATATATATATATATATATATATATATATTACAGTATAATTATTGTAATGGCTACAAAATTAATAACAAAAATTATCAAATATATACAATGAAAAATTCTAATAAATAAATATATAAATAATAGGGTTTGGTATATAGCTGAGTTATGAAACATCGGAGAAGCGTGTGAACTTGGCATGCGTGTTCCATTTTTTTGGGGTTCTTTCTGCCTTTTCTTGGGGCCGAGGCCCAAAATATTCCATCCTTAATACGCACTTTCACTTTCACACGTCCTAAATGTCTTCAAAATCGGACCAAACCTTTTTTTTAATGGCTAAATTAAAACATATTTCTTTCTGCACCCCATGCTTTCTTTCATCACTCATTTAATTTGAAAAGATATTAACATCTTTACTTATGAAGATAGTAATTCTTGAGTATTCTGAATTAAAAAAAATTTAAAAATATCGAATAAATAAATTGGGAAATATATAAATTTTTTAAAAGTTTATATTATGAAATGTGGAATATAGTATTATGGAATTAGAAATATAATTTTACCATTTTAAAAAGACTAATTTGTAAAGTTTTTGAAAAGCTAAATTTGAATATGATTTTTTACATGTACATTTAAGTTGTAGATTTACTTTTTTTCGAGAACTTTCAAGAATGAATTTTCCATACCTTTCCCAAAGTTTTTTAAAAGTACACCAAAATGTTTTTTATTGGAATATTTCCAAAAAATTTATTTCAAAACGTTTTTAAAAATATTGTCCCGAAATATTTCTAAAAAACTTATTTTGAGAATGTCCTAAAGAATAAATTTATAACCAATTAAAGACAATACTATCATTTTAGATAAATATAATAATACTGGAATAATATATAATGAACAAATAATCCAAAAACACAAAAAATAAATGAAACCAAATTAAAAAAAAAAACATATATCATATTAGATTAGATTTTTTCTCATGTACTTGTCAAATTCCATAATCTTATAAGATTTTAGAGATACATGATTTAAATGTCAAATGATAGACTTGATAATAACTCATTTAGTTATTAAAATTTTACACCGGGTCAATTTTTTCTACAAGTTGCTAAATTAAAAATAATCTTTAAAACTATACAAAATAATCTTTCAAATTATATGATTTTAATTGAACTGTTGCTTGTGCTAATTTATTTACCACATTCATAACTTATTTCTTAAAGGTATTTATATTAGTTTACAAAAAAAAAAACACACACACACACAATTTTCTATTTAGTTGAAAAGAAAAAGATTAATTTTTCTTTCTTTCCATTGTGTTTACCAAATCGTTTAAATTTTTATTCTCTTTTCTTTCTCAAACAAACACAATGTAAATTGTAATTGAATTTTGTGAAACTATTATTACAAAGAGCATTAAAAAAAGTGTGGTTGATGTAGCCTCCATCTCCATCATCCATCCATGAATCATAGATCTAAATACGTAAAACCTAATTATAAGATGCTACAAATAAGAATGTTTTATTTAGGACTTAAAATACGAAGGTTTTGTTGTGCCTGCAAATACCCAAATACAGAACAAGCGGGGGAGGAGACTTCAACGTCAACCATCCACAACCCTTTTCTTCGATTTCGCTCCACAAAATGTCACGCGCCACCGCCGCATTCGGAATCCTCCTCTGCCTAATCCTCGCCGCCGCCGCCCACTGCTCCGCTCAGGCAGACTGCAGCACCAAATGCATTGTGGAGCAGTGCGACAGTAAGATTCAATCCCATTCCGTTGAGTTTATGCTATGGTAATCATTAATCAATAATCACATTCATTCTAATTAATTTTATTATTTGAAAAACCAGCGATTGCAATCAAATACGGCAAGTATTGCGGGGTGGGGTATTTTGGCTGTCCCGGCGAGCAACCATGCGATGATCTTGATGCTTGTTGCATGGCCCATGACGACTGCGTTGACCGATTCGGTATTTCGCCTTCTCCTTCCTTCATTATTATTCTCAATCAATCATTGTTAGCAGTTAGGTTTTAATTTGTATCTGTCTTATCCTAACACGTTGTGAAGCAACATGAAATTTATTTCTATTCCCAATTGGTGTTTGTGTTATTCATTTCTTGTGTGATTGTTTGTTTGAGCAATGCATTTATGTCTTTTGCTTAGAGCATTTTCCTCCAAAATTCTTTTATTCTTGGGTCCATTGTAAGTTATTCTCAAGTTGAATCAATTCTGTTAATTGTTCGACTGGGAAACCAATTATTGGTGTGTATTAGATGCTAAAAGCTTGTCGGGTATCCCATTGTCAGAACTCTTCAATTTGCTATATTGTTTTGCGCACACTCCTTAAAAAAAAACTAATGTTCTTTTACTTTTGGATGGAATAATGCCTCTCTGATTTAAATATTGTAGCAGTTTTTTCTGCCAAATCTGCAGTACTCTTTATTTTCAGTAGGAAAAAACTATTTTGATAACTGGCATTCCGTCAAACATCATATCTATGACTGAATTTAATATAATAATAATAATAATAATCATTATTATTATTATATTATTACTAAATAGAAGTATAAGATAGTTGTGAAGTTAAAAATCAGTTGTTAACTTTTTTTTTCATTAAAAGTTTCGGAATATGTAATTTAAAATAAATATATATATATATATATATATATATATTAAATGTGATTTCCTCTCATTTAAACTATTTATTTAGAAATGATAATTCAAATTTAATAAAATATTTTAATTATTATTAAATATTAAAATTATTATTACTACTTCATAATTCTTAATTTGATTTTATCTTCGTTTGATCTTTAGGTTGACTTGTGTGAGATTAGAACAAGATGAAATAAAGTTAAAATTAATTTAGAAGATTAGGACATGTTGGTTTGATTGGATTAATAATACAAATAGAATGAGTTTGATCAATTAAGTAGAGACAAGTTGGATTAAAACATAATAGAATAAAATGGACTAGGTTAAAAGAAGATAAACTAAATTTGGTTGAGATAATAAATATTGTATGATTGATGTCAAATTGATATGAATCCTATTAAGTTAAGTTGGAGTAAAATGGATTAGACCTAATGAAAGATCAATTAGGATAAATCATATAAATTTGGGATGAATGACCCTACCACATGATATGTTAGGATTAATGATATGTTAGGATTAATTAAACTAGGACAAAACAATTTAAACTAGACTAAGGTAAGAGGAATTATTTTGAGACGAGTCAAGTTAAACTAGATTGGATTGAGACAAATTAACTCGATTGTACTAAACCATTTTAATCAAATTATATAATGTTTTTCCAACTGTTGTCAAATTAGGTTGGGATTGACAAAAAGGCAAACCAAGCCATTCTAAATTGATATTCCCATGTTAAAATGGAGTAAATATGTTCAAATTAAATAAAACCAAAACAAAAATATAAGGAGAAGGCTTATAAAATTAAAAAAAGAAAATATGAAAGGAAATTTAAAATTATCTTACTAATCAAATTAGTGTTATGAATTCGTAAAATTTATTTTTTATTTTAAATTTTATATTAAAATAACCAAAAGGATATCAAATTCTCAAAATGATTCTTCTCTACTAATTTTGTTCCTTGAAGCCATGTTCTTGTTTTCGTAAACATTTATGAATAAAAAAAGTCAATTATTTAGGATTTATGTGATTTTTAATTTCTTTAAAAAATATTTAAACTATGTATAATAAACTAATTTAAACTTGTACTGTGGAAACTGAAAGTTTTAATATAAAGAATGAAGAGGGCATTCGTTACCATTAAGTCTTAATTATTTCTACATTTTGTATTAATGACTAAGGCTTTTTTTTCTCTTCACAAGATTGATTGCTTGAGACTAACCAAAAACATGGTTTTTCAGGAATGACTAATGTGAAATGCCATGAGACATTACAGGATTGCCTAACCAGGGAACTGAATTCTGGCAAGGTTGGCTTTTCGAAGGAGTGTCCTTACAGTACTGCCGCAACTACGATGATCAGAGGCATGGACTTGGCCATCTTGCTCAGCCAATTGGGCGACACCGTTGCTCCCAAACAAACTGGAACCGTCATGTAGTCCTTCCATCTTCCCCATTATCAAACTTCTCCCCATTCGGGAGAGTTGATCTTATGATCTTGTTGTGGGATTTCTATGTTCTTATAATATATGATATCGCAAGAGAATCCAATTGTTTCTTTTGCACATTAATGATAAAATCAATATTTGTACAAATGGCAAAACCCTTCTCACAAAATTAAGCCAAAATTTATAGAACGATGGAATTATAATTACTGTCATTGCTGTCATACTCTTCTGGTGTTTAGGAGAAATGAGAAAGGAGTGAAACATTAAACATCACCTTGTACCAATTGTTTTTGGACATTTTAGGGGGACAAAGCTAAAAAGTATGTTTATGACTAATAGTTTTATCACTCATGCAAGGATGTTGCATCCGTGTTTCAGAGTCTCTAATCTCAACTCAGGTTTTAATTTAAGAGACAGTAACTTGCAATAATAATGATCCAAAGAATTTGTAAAACCATTTTGCTGCGTAAGGCCAAGGGTGACTGTGGTCTAGGGTAGATCATATCATCCAGCTAATTGGTATTTAACTTGTTTGATTGTGTTTAAAGAGCTGCAAAATATGGTTAAGAAAACAACTGTCGTAAGTGTTTTCTTTAAACTATAATAATGTTTTGTCTTCTTCAAACATAAAGACTATTGAGCTGCACTTTTCATTACAAAAACCTTTTCCTTATTTACAACTAAATTAAATCATAAGCAACATTTTCAAGGAATTTAATTATTTATAACAATTTTGTCAACCCTTAGACAATTTTACGATTTTTTCTAATAAATAACACTTGAAAAATGAAACAATTTAATATTAAAAGAATAAGAGTTTTATTGCAATCAATCTGTTCAATAATTTTGTAGTCAAATTTATGATTAAGATTTCATCAAATAGGAGTTTATTATTTTATCAAACTACCCTAAATAGTGTTAAATTGTCAGATTTTTTTTTTCTCTCTCACTTTTATTTTCCTTTATACACTCACGAAATGAGTTCACGAAGTTACGATTATTTGAGATTTTTTTTAAATGAAATGTTATTCCCTAAAATTTAAATTTGAGACTTTAAAAAAAAATCAAACTAATATCATTGACAATTTGTTATTTTGTCACTGTGAATTCAACTTATTTATTTTTTAATTGAAAGGGTCGAGAATTTGATAATAATTAGAGAAATTGAACATTGAAAACATTCTTATATTTATTATTTTGTTAAACATATCTTTAGTATAGGAGAATGATTGTTGAGATATTTTTCCTATTAAAAATTGAAAGTGACCTATTGCACTGGAGCTCTTATTTATTATAATTTTATCGTTAAAAATATGTTTAAAAATATATTTTAATAAATTAAAAGAGAAAAATATATTTAAATTAATCTTGATCTTAGTCCCAAACGACGTGAGAATAAATATAGCGGATATAATTAATTTTGATTTTTATATTTTTTAATACTTATATAGTTAGATTTTTTAAATAATTCATGTTTTTTATCTCTAATATTTATATTTTTTATATTATTATATAAAATAGATTCTCTTTCTTATAATATTTGTTACTGTTGTTAAATAAATTATTATATTATTATATAAAATTCTCTTTTTTATTACAACTTTTATTCTTTATTAAATAAAATTAATTCACTTATTTAATTTTTTTCCCTTAAAACTTTAAGTTTTTAATCTTTAATATTTATATCATGATTAGATAAAATAATTTTTATAAATAAAAATATATATTTTAAATATACTACATATACTTTTTTTATTTAATAAAATATATAATCTATTAAAAGATAAAAAAAATATTATAAAAATTAGAATCTCTTTTATAATTATATATTGTCAGTAATATTAGAAGCAAAAATTAATAATTTTTAATTTAAAAATAAAAATAAAGAAAATTTGTAATTGTTTATTTATTTATTTTCGTTACTTCTTTATGTTTCTATATTTATATTTATCTTGTTATTTAATACTGGTCAATGAGAAGTGGATCCCATCCGATTTAACAGATGTCACGTGTCACTCACTCGTCAGCACGAACGAAAAGACGTTTCTTTTTCTTTTCTTACAAGACATCGTGGGTGGAGCCGAACCTACCCAAAGACGTTTTTTTATTACAAGACATTGGTGAACGAGAAACAAGTTTATGTTTTTTTTTTCTAAAAAAATTCTTAATATTCATAAAAATATTTTTCAAATAAAAAATAATTTATATGTTAATTATGTAAAATATATAATAAATTAATAAAATTTTAAATTATCTTAGAAATTATAAATTTATTATTAAACTAATAACAATTCATAGTAAAACTATTTGTGAAAAATTATGATAAATTTATTTGTATGCGCCTTCCCGTAGGTAATTGTTCCTTCCTTTTGGCGTAGGAAGCAGAGAAAGGTTTCTTCCCCGCGTATTCGTTTGTCAGGTTTCGGGGAAAGTTCAATTGCAATAAAAATTTCACTCGTTTTCCCTCGTTCTTCGCTTGCAAGATCCCTTTCCCTTCTTCTTCGTCTTCAGGTTAAGCACGAAACCAAGCCTCGTCACAGTTATTCTTTCATAAATAAATAAACGAAAACATATTTCGTTTTTCAGTTTGTGTTTGCGCTAATTATGTTGCATCGAAGCTTCAAGCCCGCAAAGTGGTACGTCTTCGATCGATTTCGATTTCGATTTGTATGGTTTTTATTGAAGAGAGTCAGAAGCATAGAGGGTTTTGTTCAATTGAATTTGTTTGCTTTTGTATGCTGCAGCAAAACAGCATTGAAGCTCGCCGTTTCCCGCATAAAACTTTTGAAGAATAAGAGAGAAGCTCAAGTTAAGCAACTCAAGAGAGAGTTGGCTCAATTGCTCGAGTCGGGTCAGGACCGAACTGCTAGAATCCGGGTAAGGAAAACAGCATAACGCCTTTTTCCCTTTTCATCGATTTTATGTTGTTTTCCCCTCTGCTGTCTGTTAGATGTCACAATTGAGGTTTTGATTTTTGGTTCCTTTCATTTTTGGGGATTCTGTTTGTGTTGACTTCTTCTGGTTTATGTTTAGGTTGAACATGTTGTCAGGGAAGAGAAGACGATGGCAGCTTATGATCTTGTTGAGATATACTGTGAACTTATCGCTGCACGTTTGCCCATGATCGAATCACAAAAGTATTTGAACTTAGCTAAATTTTATTACATTTTTACATTTATTATTTCACTTTGATGACAGTTTTCATCGTTTAAATCTGTTTGTGCTAATTTAGGGGGAGGGAACATAAACTTTTCCTCTTCCCTTTTGTAGATTTAACTGCACGGAAGTTAAATTATGTGATTTGGGCAATACTATTGAGTATTTGTATATTATTATTATTATTATTATTATTATTATTATTATTATTATTATTATTATTATTATTTCGTTAGGGTTTTTCAATCAAAGGTGCGATCACCTTAAGAGAAACTATTTCTTTTATACTTTTAAAGAGAACTTAATTAAAGATAATATAAATGAAAAGGACCCTTGGGTTACAATAACATCTCACTCTTTCTGTCATGGTAAGTTAAATTTCTGATGAAAACTATAGCCTTTATATCTAGGCATAGATTTGATCAATGAGTTTTATCTTTCATGCCATTGCATAAGATGTTAGTTTCATTCCCAGTGATTTTAGGCATGAATTACTGAATTTGTGGTGCTTTGCTGTTAAAATCATGTTTTAATTGATATTCTATATCAGTAATTCATCATGGAAATGTTTGAATGCCCACGCGTTGCTTTGACAGTCATTGTGCGTGTCTGAAGGGATTATTGCATGTGATTTTTTAATTCTGAAAATTCTGTTTCATACTGTTTATGTTTGTTCATTATGATCGTACATTCTCATTGTGTTGATGTCATCATTTCTCTTTTTTAAACTTTTCCAGAAGCTGCCCCATAGACTTGAAAGAAGCTGTTTCAAGTGTAATATTTGCATCTCCAAGATGTTCAGACATACCAGAGCTCGTGGATGTGAAGAAGCAATTAACTTCTAAGTACGGAAAAGAATTTGTCTCTGCAGCTGTTGATCTACGCCCTGACTGTGGTGTAAATCGCATGGCAAGTTTTTCTACCTGCTTGAAGTGGATTAGATCATGTTAAAGCTTATTTCTAATTTAACTCTGTCTTTTCAGTTGGTTGAGAAATTGTCTGCCAAAGCACCTGATGGTCCAACCAAGATAAAAATACTGGCTGCAATTGCCGAGGAGCATAATATCAAATGGGAACCCAAGTCATTTGAAGAAAATGATGTAAAGTCTTCTCAAGACCTGTTGGTAGGCATTACTAACTATAGGTTTTCTTTGGTTTATTTTGATATAAAATGTTTGTTGGATGATATTAATTTGATATTATATATGCATATGTATGTTAAGAGTGGGCAAAGTACATTTGAGAAGGCTGCTTATGCTGAACCTTCTCAAATCCACGTTCCACCTGTTCATGATGAAAAGGGTCCTTCTGTTGTTCGTGCTTCCTCACAAGTTAAACCAATGAATCATGTTTCTACAAATTCATATGAGCAGACTGCAAGTGGTGTCGCAAGAAAGGATCCGTCAACAGCATCAGGCATGTCTTATCAAGAAATCGGATCTTCAGGTATTTTTGTGAAAATTGTGCTTCACCTGAATTTCTGGGTTTCTTTTGTGTTTGTTACGGTAATATTTGGGATTCTATTTTTCAGGAACTGGAAGTCAAGAAACGGATTTTCAAGTTTCATACTCTGATAACAGGAGTGCTTTTCCTGCGAGTAGGCATAAGTGGAACATGGAATTCAAGGATGCTGCCTCTGCTGCGCAGGCAGCTGCAGAATCCGCAGAACGTGCTAGCATGGCAGCAAGGGCAGCTGCAGAACTTTCAACCCGTGAAAACATGACAAGGCAGTATTCAAGTGGATCCCATAGTTCTTCTGGCAACGAGTTGAGAGATGAAAGACCCCAAGAATCCACTTTTCACGATGACAAAAATATTTCTAGAAGTTCTGTTGATGGTTACCTTTTTAGAAGCAGTTCTGAGACGCACAATGAACAGATTTCTGCCAGACAACAAAATGATCTGGTTGGAGCACCCGACGAATATTACAGGAACAGTCATGAGAACATGGGGAAACATTCTCAGTCACCTTCATTAATGTCTGGTAGTACTTTTGGTGACAATAAACTATTTACTGAAGGTTCTCAAATGGCTGATATATATCAGCATAAAAACTCATTTGATCGAAAGAATAGTGACTTACATGAAATGAGTATAAGTAGACAAGCAGGTAGGAATGAAGAAGATTTTGTGACTGACCTTTATGATGACAGTGATTTGAATGCTGAAAACAATTATCACTTTGGTGATGCAAGGACAAATAAACCATCTAGAAAAGCTTCCTCTTCTCATCTCATTACTCCAACTGATGATCACAATGATAATTTGGACTTGAATGGCTGGAAGACTGAGAACAAAGCTGTGAAAGACCTTTTTGTTGCTGATGAAGCAAAATCTCAGAAAAACTTTATGGGAACAAGTTCTTATAATGATACTTCTGTTGTATTTGATGATTATGGATCAGAGGATGATGATGGTTATAAGTTTGATGATGATAAAAAATACAATGGTGAAGGATCTAGTTTGTTTGTTTCATCCCCTGGCAGCAGATCACAAGTTGATTCTTGGGGCCATGGACAAAACATTGAAGAAAAAATGATAAGTTTTAGTACACAGTCACATTTTTCTGCAGTTTCTGAAAGATTGAATGCGTCTTCAGTTTCTTCTGAAAAAGAAGACTTGTTGCCTGTCACTTTTGATGATTCAGATGACCCAGGTTCAGATAGCGATATGGATTTGGTCAAGTCTAAGGTTTCTGGCCTGTCTGATTATGGAAATTCCTCCCTTAATCCAATTGCAAGCAATGGAGCTCTAGAATCTTCATCAAGTAATGACAAAAATATGGGCACTGACAGAAAGTCTTGGTTGTCACCTTCTTCAGTTGGTTCAGATACCGTGGAAGAGCATTTTGAAACAAGGGAAGACACCACAACTTTGCCAAGAAAGAATTTTGGTTATGATGACTTGTCAGCCAGTGTGCCGTCTACAAGGGAAAGAAGCTCTACATCGGGTTTGGATTTTGAGGCAAACAATGATACTGAAACTCTGCAGGAACTTCATACAGAAAGTGGCAAGGAATTAAGTTATGGTATCTTGAAGGGTGGTCTTCGCAACAAAGGTTTGAAGCGACCACCTTATATTAAGAATACGATGGATGATGTTTCATCTTCATTGGGGGACACTTCAATCCAGAATGAAAGATCTTTGCCAACTGGGATGACTTCAATTGATTTTGATACTCCTGTTCAGGACAAGTACACGAGGGAAGTGAGCAGAGGAAACAAGACTGTGGCCTCGGAAGTGCACAACATATCTTCTGATTCTGATAGGTATCGCTTAGTTGCAAATTCACAGGAGACCCATGCTAGTACTCTTGAATCTCGTGTTCAGAAGGAGCAAAGTGAAGTAAAAAATAAATCAACCTCAAGGGCCTCTGTTACATACTTTGATTCTGATAATAGTGATGTTGAAGTTGAACTTCCTAATCAAAATTCACCTAGTATTGCCCGTCCTGTTAGTGGAATATCTCGAAGGACATCTGCTTCTCCTAAAGCTGGTACAGGTTTAAGTTCAAGAGATGCTCCTCTATCCAAGGGTTCTGTCTCTCCTTCTACAACACTTGGATGGAAATCTTCAAGGACTTCTTATGAGAATAATAATAATAATAATCAGAATGCTTCATCCAAGATGAGGAGCTCTGAAAATTGGACAGGATCTCGGCCTAGATCAGCCAAAAATAAAGCAACTGAGCCAATTTCAGAACCGAAAAGACCCTTGCATGGGGAAATTTTGAGATCGCCTGAAAGGTTGCAACCTTCCAGTTCTCCTAAAACAGTGATACAAAATAGTAAAGAGGGCCAAGATGATTCTTATGGAGATACTTCCTCTAATCAAAAGGTTGGGCACGTTCATCCAAAGTTACCCGATTATGATTCTTTTGCCGCGCACTTCCTTTCTCTTAAGAAGGGTCGTCAATAAATTCCACTTGCCTCAATATAGCAACATATCTACTGGTACATAGTCATGAAGGTTTATCTTTCTTTTGCAGCCTGTGTGGTTACATATAGATGCGTGATTTAATAGTTGAATTATTTGAGGAATATGGATGAGACTTGTATTTTTTGAGAATAAACTGTCCGAGTGTGTAGGTTTTACCCTCTCATTTTCGTGACATCTCTTTTTGATGACTACTGCACATAGTTGAATATTTATTTCATTTTGAACATTCACTGAATACATTGTATCTTCATTCAACTCAGCTGATTAGTTCATTTCTTAAATTTCATAATAATTGGTTTGACTGAATTGAATAAATTATGGTTTCTACTCTTCAAATTTGATATTTTTTGTCATGTATATAAACATAATATATTTTTTTCAAAATTAAAATTTTAAATGTTTTAATTTTTTTAATTTTATAAAATGTATATTTTAAAAACAAATCTTGTCTAATTAAGGAGATTAAACACGAGATTACTAAAAAAATAATGACTTGTTGGTACTATAACTACCAAAAATTCAAGGACTTGGTATATTATCGAGTTCGAATTAATGAGAAAATATAAAATTGATATTAATTTCACCTATTATTCGTCGGTTGAAATGCATTTCAATTATTATATATTTAGATTATTTATAAAAACTTACAACTTATGCAAAAATAAATAATTAAAATATTAATTGATAGAATTTTTTTTGCTTATTATCCGTTTAAAACTTTTTATGGGTAAATAAAATAAATTCTAAACACTCACGTTTTAAAAAATAAATGGTCTCGTTGTGTTTTTTTTTTTTTTCCAAGGCAAGAGGATCTATTCCCATACATAAACTGTTTGTCTTATAAAAAAAAACTTGGATGTAGCTGACTTACAACTCTACGAATGATAAGATTTGTAAGAGTATATGATATTCTGCTAATTATCAAACTCTAATTAATTCTCCAGAACAGAAACTTTTGTTTTATGCCAGGAATAAAAAAATAATGATAATGACATAAATGTTTAAAAAATCGAGTTAAAAAGCCAATATTTTTTAAGATATCACAATAATACTACGACTTATTATAAAATCAACCAATTTTTTTTTTGGTGAATTAAACTAATGTGTTAGATATGTTGCAATCAATAATAATAGAAAAATCACACAGAATCTAACTAAGTTAGCTAAACTGGACATAAAGTTATTATAAACCCTTTAATATGTGTTTAATTTTTACACATAAAAAGTAAAACAAAACCTACTTCATGTTCATTATTCATTATGATACCATATTTTTGAGATATTATGAATTTTGAGACTCTAATTTTATAGATAAAAATCATTGAGTAATTTTTTTTTATAATACTAATAAATATATCAGAATAATTTTTATAAACTTAGTTAATTAAAAAAATTATATTTATATTATTTTAATAATTATTTTTATTAAATGCGTTATATAAACTCAAATAAAAAATTATTTAATAATGGTATTATTTTTTGGGGGAGATAATTCAATTAGGAACTTCTAGAATTGTTGAATAAGAGGAGGGAAGTAGTTGGAATGGGCAGAAGAAAAAAAAGGCCTCAAGTCCATAACAAGCGATTCATAGAGTGGTTCACCACTCAATTTATTCTACAGAAGAAACAAAACAAGAAAGCTGAATATGATGTACCATAAAATCTGAAAGTCGTTATTGTGAATATAATATAACGTAAGCCGCCACCTTTGACAGTTAATACAATATAGTTTGACCAAAGAATTCATCATCACATCACTACATAAGTGTGCTTCCAACTATTGCTGTGCTCAGAGTTAAGCTTCAACTACATACTTTCTCCTACATCCATTCTAATCTCTTTCAAGATATAACCAGAATGGAGAAATTCAGGTATATCTCTCTTGCCTACGCTTGCCTAGTTCTAGCAAATCTTTCAGGTTCACAAATTCCATACGTAAAATACATCCTTGCCAAATGAACTTCTGATTTTATATTATAATCAGAGTCTCTTTCATGGAAAACTTCAATACTTTATATGTTCTCTTGGATCATGAAAGAAACAAGAAAGCCAGCTAGAGTACCATACAAAAGCACTAGATATCACTAGTATAATTTTTTCGTAAGTTGTGGAATAAAAGCAAGGAAATAGAACATGTTTTGTTAACAACTTGATAAAGTGTAATCTTTCTCTTTCACTTCGAAGGACCCTACCTCTTATTTTGTTGGTTGTTGGTTTTGGTGGAATGCAGAGAAATGGAAAAGATCAAGGATCCATCAATTTATCGCAATCCAGTCATACTGCAAAGCGAGGACTTAACCAAGGTGTGTTCATTCATGGTGTATTCACACACTTTTATACATCTTGAATGTTGAAATGAAAACTCATTGATCACTTGTTGAGTATTCCTTCCTGATGTGACAGTATATACTGGAAACAGCTGTTTACCCTAGAGAACCTGAGGCCCTGAAAGAGCTGAGGGAAGCCAATAATAATCACCCATGGTAATTCTTCTGTCTATTACTGAAACTTGCATTTTGATTTGAGACTGAAAAAGAACTGAAATTTCTTCAACTTGTTTTTCAATATTCATCCAGGGGCTTCATTGCTACTTTACCAGATGCTGGTCAGCTAATGAGCTTACTGTTAAAGTTGTTGAATCCCAAAAAGACCATTGAAGTGGGAGTGTTTACGGGTTACTCCCTTCTTCTCACAGCACTCAACATTCCTCATGATGGAAAGGTTGCATGCTTAAATTTCTATCAATGTCTTAATAATAATGCAAACTAAAAATTAATTTGCTGTTGCAGATTACAGCTATAGATATTGACAGGAAAGCTTATGACATTGGATTACCAGTCATAAGAAAGGCTGGAGTTGAGCACAAGATTGATTTCATAGAATCGCCAGCTCTACCAATTTTGGATAAACTACTTGAAGATGTAAGCTTGTTTCTTTTGGTATGATGAAAAACTCACGTGCATAATAAATATAGACACAATAAATGTAACAAAGCGAGAACAATTCTTACTTCATGAACTAGTGTTTGAATTGAATTATACATATCAAACCACTTGCTATTGATTCTATCAAACCACTTGTTATTGAACTGTGTTATCATATCACTTGCATATGTTCCTTGTCACATATTTCAAGTTTAATGTCTACTTTTAAGTGACTATTGGTATAGTTTTTAATATGAAGTCTAACAGGTAAACCAGCTTTAAGTTTTAGTTGGACTCAAAACATAAGATTCTAAGACAATGTGAGTTTTTATTCCTTTCTCTAGAAACATATTTGAATGTTTGGTTGCAGCCTGCAAATGAAGGATCTTTTGACTTTGCATTCATTGATGCTGACAAAGAGAACTATGTGAACTACCATGAGAGGCTTATAAAACTGATCAAGATTGGTGGTTTACTTGTATATGACAACACCCTGTGGGGTGGGCGTGTTTCCTGGCCGGAAGAAAAAGTTCCACCACACACCAGATCAGGGAGGAATGCAGCAATTGAATTCAACAAAACAATCACAAACGATTCTCGCGTTGAGTTTGCTCTTACTTCTGTAGGAGATGGTCTCAATATTTGTAGGCGTGTTGCTTGAGTTTTATCTACTATACTTGCTTATCAGTAGTCAGTGTTTCATGCACTGCTATTAAGTTGCTACCTCAATAAAATTACATTTTGTGCTCCTAATGACTGGTTTTATGGCACAAACAAAATGGAGATACTGATAAAAGGTTTGCAGCTGTTATTTATGTCAATTTTGAAAATTTTTTATTTATTCTATTCAGCCATGAATGCTTGACCAAAGACTATGTTAAAAACACATATTAGTTACGATTTATTTAAAACTATTAAATCACAAGTAAATTTTATTAATATAAAGTGAAACTTACAAATTATGTAATTTCTAATACATTTCAATTAATATAGCACACTTGATAATGGGATTACAGCCCATTAAATATATATGTTCATACTGTGATTCTCAAAATACACAACAAATCATACACAAAAGCTTACAAAATGTTTGGTTATCAATTTAAAGTAACTCTATAAAAGTAAGCCGCAAGCGTGTTTAAACTAGACTTTGCAATGGAAGACATTCACCAACATGAAATACAGCCACCAGTTGGAAAATATTATAAATACTGTATTATAGTAGTACAGTCATCCACAGTTCCAATGAAAATTTACTGCATCTACAGTTGCTGACATCCTCAAGGTCAGGATTAGTGGATTACTTTTTGAATGGTTAAAAAGGCCTAAATGGTGTTCTCTGCTAAGTATAGCTCAAGAATCAAATGATTGCAAATTTAAACACCTGCCCGCAAACTGAATCGTTAATTTCATCAATCACAACACAACTAAATCAAACTTGACAGAAAATTCGTCTTTAGCCTCCATCACTGTTGAGGTTGATGAACTCTTGAAGCAAACGTTTCAGCAACCAGCAGAGGGAATGCTATCGTTGCATCACAGTGTACCTATTTTAATATATAAAAAGACGTTTAAGGGATATACTATTAATGGTTGTTTGGTACCCTTGTTTATTTCATGCGTATCAGTGGAGTCAATGAGTTATTAAATATTTATTAATTGCTGGCCTTATAATAAAATTTTACAAGTCCATGTAATATAAGTAGAAACCAATGAATATTCAACTACTCAACATAGGTACTGTACCCGTTCCTAACTGAAAATGTTGATATGCATGGCTATAACAATGTAAAAGCTGATGATCATTTTAAACGATTCGCATTACAAAATTAAAGAATTATGAAAAGGAAACCAGTTGAGAAAGTATGCATAGATATACCTTGACAGCTTGAGCAGATCCACGTAATTTCCCCCATGAAACAGCCTCATCAGGACGAGCTCCAGAATCACTACCATCATATTCTTGTGCAGTATTGATAAAAACAGCATAGTCTGCCCCGTTACGCATCATATTGGCATTGCAAATGTGATGTTTTGGAAGGCCACCTCCTAAAATAATCATTCCCGTCTTCCTGGGACTTGCATGTACAGCTTCACCATTCATTGCCCTTATATCTGTTGTATTGCTAATTATTTTAGTCATGGTTCCTTGATTTATCAAAATCATGCATGCAGTAAAAAGCCGAAAGAGTGTGGAAAAAAACCTTGCACTATATCTACAATCAGACCAGGATTGCGGAAGGAATGGAAGTACAGCATGTCCCCCAATGAGCCATCAGTTAAGCCCGGACAGAAAACTGGAATGTTGTTCTAGCAAATATCATAAAAAATGTTAATAATATTATATTGTATGCTGTATTATGATTCCCATGTTGTTCTCAAGATTGAGACAAATAACTACATTGCATTTTGTATATCTTATTATATAGACCGTAACAAATATGGATAACAATAGTCCCATTGTGAGAAAGAAACTAGGGAAAAGATTCAAATCAGAAACAGAGTAGAGGGACTAGCACAATCTATTAAAAGTTGTTCTCATTCTTGCCTTGTATGCCCAGTAAAGGTAAGAGCTTTCGTTGTTTATTTCTTTTCCCAAGCGAGCTATTAACTTAGATGGTGTCCACAACACATTCTGCGAAACAGAAAAAAGCACCAAGAAAAAAGTTACAAGAGAAAACTTAAAAAGAAACTGCTTTGTAGAAGGTTTGTCATCCAATCATGCAGAAAATCATAGTTTAGTTTGATTTTGGTTTAGCACAAACTAAACATGAATCACAAGTAACACAAATTACAAATACAAAAAGGATGAATAATAAATGTGACAACATGCACTCCACAAAAACCAAACCACATAATTTTAAATTGCAATGAACAGATAAAGTTAAAAAATAAAATACCTCATTATTTTGTTCCTTTAACATCTGATCCAAAATAGGGATAATCCAGTCCTCAAATTTGCAATAGTTGTCATTAGGGACCAGCAAATTACCAATCCGATTCAACCCTTTCGAGCGAAGACTCGCTCCAGGCAGAGAGAAATCTCCTTTATATGTTGGTGCAAGGCACTTTATAAGATCTTCTTCAATCCCACCTGTAGTTGTAACAACTACATCAACCTGCACATTGCAAAACACATGCAAAAGAAATTCAATAACCTGACTTGAAATCACTATTCAACCATGATGGTGTCTGAAAGATTAAGAAATACCATTGCAAAGACTGGAATTGGCCTTTGAACATGGGAAAGTAACTCACCATGCGATGCTGAAGAAGAAATCGAACAGTGTCTCTAACACCAGAGGAAATAAGATTTGAAGTGAAACCCAGAAAGATTTTACAAGTCACAGATTTTCGGTACTCCAAGTCCCTCTCATGGTCACTGCAATCCTCAGTCACGGGTTCATCAACTAGCCTCCAATCTAGCTTCAAACCAAAAATCACAACTTTCTAAGCGAAAAAGTACAAATTCACCTAAATGAAGAGATGGTGTTAGACAAAACAAACCATTTGATCAACAACTAGGATGGCATCACCGAGATTCGAAGCCTGAAACCCAGTGGTGATCATGGACCTGACTAGCATCGGATAATTAACGCCACGGTTGAAATCATAGCCTTCAATCTTAAGGCACTTTCCATCAAGGCTTTCTGATTCTTTGAACACGATGGTGTGAACTGATGCTAACACATCTTCCTTTCTCTCTGCTTCTCCCATTATCTTCTTACTCTCTCTCCTCCGCAAGCAACACAACACAGCGCACCGCACCGCACCTAAGACTGTTTTTGAGTTCTAAATAACCTGTGTTTCTTTTAATACTATTATTATAATAAAGTATTAATTATATAAATATAATAATAATAATTATTATTATTATTATTATTATTTATTTTATTATTAATTATAAATTTATAATAAAGTAAATGAGAATTAAATATATTGAAACTATTATAATATATTAATCAAAATCTATAATTTTTTTTAAAAGTAATGTTTTAAAATATTGTACCAGTTAAAAAATTATTTTTGGGCCTTTTTAATAAAGCGCATTAAGCATTCAAGCCCAAGCCCATTAGGGTTAGGTTATGTTATATTTGAGTGGAGTCTCCTCCTTCGTATTCTGTTTGAGTGTTGGACGCTGCCGAAACCCTCTCCAAACCCAAGGTAAGTGAGTAAGTAGTCGGTGGTTGAAAATGGTGGAGAAGACTAAGGGAAGGAAGGAGGAGGTGGTTACCAGAGAGTACACCATTAATCTCCACAAGCGCCTCCATGGCTGGTAGTTTATTCACCTTCTTTACACTTTGTTTTCTCTGCAATTTTTAATTTCTTTGTGTCAAATTGATGCAATTTTTAATTTCTTTGTGTCAAATTGAACCAGCGACGTATTTCACGCTTCAGCGCCGTATTTCACGGTTCAATAATCGTCTTAAACAATTTCATCGTTATTAACCAATCTTTGCTAAGATGAATACACGTTCTTATGGATCCGAAGTTTCATCGTCGTTATTAACCAATCTTTGCTAAGATGAATACACGTTAGGAATTACGAGTCCTACGAAACACGGCGGAGTTGTGTTGTGTTGGCTGTTATATTTATTTAGATCTAGCAGGTTATTGATTTATAACTTATTTCATCCATTTGATATTAATGAATCACATGATTCACATGGTGATTTTGTTTATTGTAACTTCTGTCTGTTGATTTGTTTGTGTTTTTGTTATAGATCATTAGTCTTAGCAGTGCTTTTGTAAGTTTGTGTATAATAGTGTGTTTTTGTTATAGATTAGTAGTGTTTTTGTAATTTTGTGTATAAATTGTGTATAATAGTGTGTTTTTGTTATAGATCAGTAGTCTTAGTAGTGTTTTTGTAATTTTGTGTATAAATAGTGTATAATATTAGTGTGTTTTTGTTATAGATCAGTAGTCTTAATAGTTTTTCTTTTTAATTTTGTGTATAAATTGTGTATAATAGCACATTTAAGAAGAAGGCTCCCAAAGCTATTAAGGAGATAAGGAAGTTTGCCCAGAAAGCCATGGGAACCAATGATGTAAGGGTTGACGTGAAGCTCAACAAGTTCGTCTGGAGTCAGGGAATCAGGAGTGTTCCAAGGAGAATTAGAGTAAGAATTGCTCGGAAAAGAAATGATGATGAAGATGCCAAGGAAGAGCTGTACTCCCTTGTCACTGTCCTTGAAATTCCTAAGGACGAGCTCAAAGGACTGGGCACCAAGGTTATTGAGGACGAAGATTGATTTATGTAGTTTTTTGTTTTCGCAATTCAGTCTTGTTTGTTCTAGATTATCAAATTACTCCTATTTTGTTGGGTTACTTTGAATTTTGTTGAGACCTAATATCAATTTAGTTTTTGCATCTACTGTTAATCTTTCTTTTCGTTAGGGCTAATGGAAACATTATTTTGCCTCTCATTGGTATTAAACTAGGATATAGTAAAATAGAATAGTAAACTTAAACTAGAACGTGTAAGGGGAGTTTTTATGTTTTTTGAATTTTTTCATTGGTGACATACAAACTAAACGAACTGGTTGTTTTACATCCGTTTTAGTTGCCAGCTTAGCTTAACGTTAAAAGTTAAAACTTCAAGTCGTTTAACCATCATTTTTGCAATTAATGCTTGATTAAGCGAAGCTTATAACGTTTTAACCATCATTTTTGCAATTAATGCTTGATTAAGCGAAGCTTATAACGTTAGACCTAAATTCGTGAACTCACTATTGTAATGTGAGAGTTGGATATATTATTCATCTTGGTGTCGTTCACCAATGATCTTTACAAGAACAAGTACCATGTTCAAAATGGTGGAACCGATTTGTATCTCTTAATACAATTAGTCTCCTTGTAACTTCTGAAACAGCCTTCATCCAGGAATGACAGTCAACACAAACTCGAAGATTCTTGGTAATCCTGATTGGCATTCCAGCGCCAGTGTGGATGAGGGCAGATACAGCTGCAAGTCGTTCACTGTGCTCACAAACCCATGTTGCTTTCATATCTTCGTTGATATCATGGAGAACAACACTCGTATTAGTTATATATCCAAAGTCCTTAATAGCATTTGACAACTCGTTCCAAATTTTAATATACTCATCAGAACAACGTAAATCAGAGCTCCCTCCTGCAACAAATGTATGAATCTTATGCTTTATTTGTATCCAACTACATCCAGCATTTTTTTTTATTCCGGTCATGGCCATCATTTCCCTAACTCTCTTCACATCTTCCCACATCCCTGCATTTGCATATATGTTTGAAAGCATCACATAATTTCCAGGATTGCTAGGTTCAATCTCAAACAACCGCTCCGCAACTATTTCAGCTAGGGGAACATTTCCATAAAGCCGGCACGAGTTAAGCAATGAACCCCAGATGCTGCCACTAGGTCTCATTGGAATGTTCTCTGCCACAGTTAATGCCTCGTCAAGTTTCCCTGACCTACCCAATATGTCCACCAAACAAGCATAATGCTCTAAAGATGGTTGCACCCCATAATCCTGCATCACACTAAACAATCTTTGCCCCTCACTGGCGAGTCCTGAATGGCTACAACCTGAAAGCAAGGCAACAAAGGTAATCCCATCTGGTTCGATGCAAGAATTTATCATTTCATCAAACAAATCCAAGGCTTCATTTATTTGACCATTGATTGAGTATCCACCTAGCATTGTATTCCATGATGTCAAATCCTTTCTGCGCATTCTGTCAAACACTTTTTCACAATAACCAATTTCTCCACATTTGGCATACATATCCATCAACGAGTTTTGCAAAGGCACATCAGCATTCTTCCTAGACTTCACAATCTGCCCATGTATCTCCTTCCCACTATGAAGTGCAGTAACCTGAGCACACACCGGCAAAACAGTTGTAAGGGTAATCCAACTGAACCCCATATCTTCTCCTTGCATAACTCTAAAAGCACCAAGTGTCTCAAACACTCTATCTTGACCAGCAAAACCCGCAATTAAAGTGTTCCAAGACACCATGTTTCGTTCAGGCATCACCTCAAACACCTTTAGGACCTCGTCAAAGCAACCAATTTCCACATAAAACCCCAAAAGCGCGTTGTTCACCACTTGGTCTGCTTCTCCAACATCATGCTTCAAAATTTGGGCGTGGATTGCTCTTCCAACCAATGCATTACCCGAATCAGAACTCGCCTTGAGGGCCATGGAAAACGCGAAATTCCCAGGTTTCACGCACCGTGACAACATGTCACGGTAAAGAAGCAAAGCTTCATGGGACAATCCGTTTCTCGAATACCCAATAGCCAAAGCCACCCACACAGGTTCTGGCGGGTTCTCATCGCCAATTCGGAACACGCGGCGTGCCTCATCGACTCTGCCGCAAACAGAGTACAAAGTGATGAGCTTGCTCTTCAACGTGGGGTTCTCCAAGACTCTGTTTTGATAGCGTAGTAGGTGCAAGTGGAGTTTTCGGCCATGTTTCAATGACCTTCTGGAGATGCAAGCGTGGAGGAAGAGAGAGATACCTTCTTCTTCTTCAATGGGTGTGGGCTTTGATGATTCGATTAGGCTAAGAGCTTCGTCTAAATTGCCCCATTTGCAGAGAGATTTTAGTGTTGAATTGAATGGTGTTGTTCTATGTTTATGGAAATTTGTGGTTCTGGGTGTGGAGGTGGCCGTTATGTTCGTTTTGACAGTTATGTTGGTTGGTTGAGAAATGGCAAGGAGCATGATGAAGACCGAAACACGGAGGAGGAAACAAAGGAAGAAATAGTTTGTTTTTTAAGGTTAGTTCTGAAACTCCAATGAAGGTGTCAAATCTGCAGAAAAAATAATGACAAGTTTGTAAGGATAACTGGGGATATGGTTAGAGAGTGCATCAATGTATGGTTTTTTGTGAATAGTTAGCATAAAAAAATGGTGGATATATATACCTCCTAAAAAGTTGTAAAGTTCTTTGAATTGAGAAGGTGTGAGTGAGCGTGGAAATGGATTCTTCTGTCTTCTTTCCAAAACTAATTTCTTCACAACCTCCTATCAGATAGGGAGTTTAATAACCTTCATCATTCTAAACACAATTTCGCATTCATAATATAAATTTCATAACGTTTAATTGAGAAAATGAAAATTTCACCCTTGTGAATTTTAATTTGTAATAAAGAACGTATTAATTTAATTTTATCTTATATTGAAAATTACGTTTCACAATTCTTAGTTCAACAGAAAATCAAGGTATTAAATTAGATGGTTTGAGAGTTTAAATCTAACTTTTTAATTTTTTTGTTTGTTTACAATAACATACCAATTATCTGAATTCTCGAGATGAGATTTTGTTATAAACTTTTGACAATTTTTTACTAGTAGACTATTGCTTATGAAAAGGTGAAGTTTGCTATATGCTTATTTATATATTTTTATTTTTATTATTATATTATAAAGAGAATAATAACAATAATATATCCAACAGTTAATGTTTTTTTTTTCGCACGCTGAACACTATTTAGGGGAAAATGTTGTTTTAATATGTATTTTTATTGTTTTCTCTCTTTTTTTTCTAAAACACATATCTACATTTTTTATCATTTTTATTTAGATCTTTTTGACCGTGTTGGTATGTTTTGTGGTGAAAAAGAAAAAAGAAAAAAGAAAATGCGCTCCACGTAGAAGGGGAAGAAAAGAAAAAGAAGGTTCTTCAATTCCTTGTCTGCTACGAACATCACACCAAAACAACACGCCTAAGCAAACCAAAGCTAAGACAACCCCCAACCACCGTTCTCTGTTTCTGCCTTTCCCTTCCCTCTCCGATCCAATCCCAATCCCTAATCTTCTCACTCTCACTTCAAACTCTGATTTTTCAACTGGGTTTGTTCTTCTCTCTCTACCCTTTTTTCAACGCTCATTCAGTTCACGATTTATCAAAACCCTTCGATTCGGATTTCATCTAATTTTTTCATGGTTTCAGGAAGATCGGTTGACGAATCGAGGATCTCATCGCTTCCGAAGCAGTAGGGTTTACATCGATCGCAATCATGTTTAGCCGCATGTTTGGGAAACCTAAACAGGAAACCAATGCTGTTGCCACTTTGGACAAGTTAAACGAGGTCCCTTTTTTTTTTTCCTTTTCTGTTGCTACGCCATGCCATACTCTCTGCATATCTCATTACTCCAGCTGTTTGTGTTTGCTTGTTTGACTTCGATGAACTATAGTATTATTATTATTATCATTATTATTATTATTATTATTATTATTGTATTTTTCCCCAATAAGTAGAGTTGTTGTCACCAATCACCTTAGTAACACCGCATACTCATTTCAGCTATGAACTATCAACGAACTCTCTGAAGTATTACTGGTTGCTAATTTAATTGATGAAATTGCAAAAATAGCTCATGTTTCGGTTAGGTTGGGCTACTCATGTAATGTATGTTGAGGAGTCTATACGCCCATATGATATGGCTTTTAAAAAATTTGTCACCAGATACTTTGTTAAGTTCATGAAAACCTTAGTCATCGGAGGGGGTTGGTAGTTTTTTCACATTCTCAGTTGCTTCCTAGTTCCGAACTATTATTAAACTAAGATGGAGACTTCATCATTTTAGTCTTGTTTTTCCTTTAATTTAAGATAGATCATGCTTTAATTTGTATCTATGTCATTATATCTATAATCTAGGTATGTTGTAAATTTCATGCACGAATGGGCTATTTGCTTTCAGGTTGTGAGTATCTTTAGGCAAGCAATTTCATATAATTGTGGAAAACAATGTCTTTACTTTAGTATTCTCAAAATTATCAAATTAGGTGCTATTCTTGCAAATATTCCTAGTTACGGCCTTGGTATGTTGACCAGGTCTTCGACTGATTTGTTTGTATTTTGTGGTATGTTGTTACCTTTCGTTTATGGCAAGTTACACCTAGAGAAAATCTTATGAATTGAATGTTTTGTTCTTTGAATCATGTAGACGCTTGAAATGCTGGAGAAAAAGGAGAAAGTGCTCCTTAAAAAGGTGTCGGCAGAAGTTGAAAAGGCCAAAGAGTTCACAAGGGGGAAGAACAAAAGGGGTACGTTGCGTCATATATGGATACTTGTTCTAGAGAATATCTTCTGAGCGTCTTTCTTTTCCCCAACTTTCACTTAATTTATGAGATGTTATTTGAGTTCTTATTATGCAGCGGCAATACAATGTCTGAAGAGGAAGAGGTTATATGAACAGCAAATAGAGCAGCTTGGAAATTTCCAGTTGCGAATTCATGACCAGGTGTGCAAACAATTTTCTATGTGGTGACATTTCAAAAGATGTTTTAGTTGATTGAGCATCTTTTGCATCTTATGATGTTAATTTGTGTTACAGATGATAATGTTGGAAGGTGCTAAAGCCACCACAGAAACAGTAGATGCTTTAAGAACTGGAGCGGCTGCTATGAAGGCTATGCAAAAAGCAACGTATGTAGTAGAGTGCTATTTATGTTTTAAATTATTTAGTTATTTAATTCTTTCAACACTTTCCTATATTTATGTTGTCTCAATTTCAAGCCCTGTCTTGTAATATCTATTCAGCTGTTGATTGTGATTTATGATATTGTTGAGTTGCATCATTTTCTTTTTCAGGAATATTGATGATGTTGACAAGACCATGGATGAGATAAATGAACAGACTGAGAACATGAAACAGATTCAGGATGCATTATCAGCTCCAATTGGTGCAGCTGCTGATTTTGACGAGGTATTTTTATTTTATTTGTGCTATATTGGTTGCAAACAAGATATTGCATCTTTAGATTGTCAAGACAGTAGTAGTGCTATTTTGCTATAGAGCCCAATGCATGTCCAGGATCAGTCTGAATTTCTTTTCTTTTCAGGATGAATTGGAAGCGGAACTTGAGGAGCTGGAGGGTGCTGAGTTGGAAGAACAACTTCTTCAGCCAGCAACTACAGCTCCTGCAGCCCCAGTTCAGGTCCCAGCTGGGCGGCAACCTACTCGTCCTGCTGCTGCAAAGCCAACTCCTGAAGAAGATGAATTGGCAGCTTTGCAGGCTGAGATGGCACTTTGAGCAGGTCCCTTTTCTTAGCTGTAACACTATCAATTTGTATGTTTATGTATGCATTAGTTTGTTTTAGTCCAAGTAGTTTTGCATTAATTAGAGCAGTTAAATGATACGTGTAAGCCCCATTTTTTACGGTGGAATATCCAACAGTTGCAGTTTAGTTCGCTTGTATGATGTATCATAGTTTGAAACAAATTAATTGCAAATGATAACTTGTGCGAAAAGTATGAAAATCTTATTTTAGGCTGTTCTTGTTGGTTTTGCCTTTGGCTTTGATTAAGCCAGAATTTTGCAGGCATTTTTGTGCATGACGACTGTTGGCTTCAATGGAGAATTGTGAAGTGGAGATTCTGTTGCTCTCCTGCTTGTTTGTCTTTGTAAAATTATCGAACAGACCAGAGAATGTATATAAAAGATGGGGAAAAAATTGAACATGAAAGTCGTTCATAAAGCAAAACTTACTGCTTATATTTTGGATGAATTCGAACCTCCTTTACGTATCTTTTATTTTGTGTGGTCCGGCTCAACACTGTTAAATTAATGTATATCTTAAACGTGCTACGGCGAAGTATAAGGAATAATAATTTGTTAGCCTTTGCACTAGAAATGAAGTTTTCCAAGCTGCACTTTCGATGTAAATCTTTATATAATAAATTATTTAAATTAATAAGATGTTTTTCTTGTTACTTTTTCTGATCTCGAGCACCAGTTTACATCAAGAAATCACTGGAAGCCTTCATTATATTATATGGTGTTTGCTTTACAGAACATTAGAGGGACCTTAATATGTATTTTCTAGCAGCGATAGCATATGACTTTAACGTTAGAAACATGACATTACACCCTGGCTTTAGTGATATTTACATATATATTCTCGTTAACCAAAAGCTTAATCAAATATTAAAAGTTCAGTGAACTGATTTGCAGTTATCTTTATTTGCATGTGCCGAGTTCCTCTACAGAATCCATTTGTTAGACAATGCCAATTACAATTAGTTTTAAGATGAAACAAATTTTAACACAGTTTTAAGACAAACACCAGGTTTTAAGATGAAATACTCGGAACAAATTTGAAATTTTTTAATCAACTAATTATTGTATATTTTTTACATTTTGACTTAATTATAACACATTTACAATTATACTTAATATTGTGTAATTATGTTTTGTTATTTTTATTGTTCAAGAATCAGTAGTGGTAAAATTTCTTTAAGAACCGATTATTCAATTAAGTTACACAACAAACACCTATAGATTTGTGTGAACATAAATTTATGTGACAACAAAACCAACAAGAAAAAATCATCTGACAAGTTTGAAATTTAAATTTCCCTTGGAATTTAACTTCTGTCTAACTTTATATATCTTCATTTTATACGTTACCCGTTATTTCTTTATAACTTTTTTAATAAGCTTGAATTCAAATTTCCTTTGGAATTTATGACATTATCATTTTATAAATAAGCACTTACTCAAGATATTCTAAATACCCTATGCGGAGATGGAACAAACTAATTTGATTTAACCATATGCCTCATAAAATTACCCTTTTTCGTCAACCCTTGGAATTTCAGCAACCAAAGGTAAATTTGCAAGTTGTTTTGTGGAGACTACACGTATTAGTAGAACTACTTTTCTCAAAGCAAAATGATCCTAACAAGCCGAAGGAACCCTCAAACCGAACCCACTCTTTTTTCTTATATATAATATGTGGGCATTCTGCAAAATTTCTGTACGACTCATGAAGGATAGTAGTGTGCAACCAGAAAATTAGGTTAGACCTCTGAGTACTACTAAATTAATGAAAGTAATTCGCGGACATCAGAGACATGCACAAAACAAAAATGAATTTCCTTGAAAGAATAGAGATGAAGAGATAAATACAATAGAGAATAATTAAAAAGAAAACAGCGTGAATAGATGAATGGGGTGATATGTGTGCCTCAGTTCCAAAGGCTAATGAATGATGTAAGTAAGAACCAGAGCCAGCAGCATTAGCACATAGGCAACTCCTTGATCCACTGCTATCCCTGCAAACCCAATAGGAATTGCAACAAAGCAATTAATTATCACGAGCAACATTGAAAAGACAAAAATGAAAAAAAAAAAAAAACTAAAGTAACAATTTTGAGAAGAGGGTGCATTGCATACCATCACTTGTAGGGGCAGGGGCAGGAGGAAGGACCTGAGCATTGATGGACACAGAAGCCAAAGCAAGAGCTATAATGGACATGACAAAAAGCTGAAGTCTGAAGACCTCCATTGCAAATGGAAGAATGATGATGCAGCTGAAAGGCTAAGAATGGATGGGTGGTATATAATGAGAGAGGGGAGTGAGAGAGAGAATGAAGGGAGAAGAGGGAGAAAAAAAGAAACTGAAGATTGCTTGGGTTGAGAGAATCTTGGCAAAGCAGAAGCCACTCTGGCTTGCAATATAAATCAAGAGAAGAAGGGCTTACTAGCCGTTGATGTATGCCACGTGTAGGGTGAGTATTCCCTGCACGTTACAGAGTATTGGTGTAGAGTATAGAATTGGGCAAGAGGTGGTGGAAGCAATGAATGATGGTTTCTGTTTCATCAGCTGCTGCCAGTCTGCCACATGATTGATTGGTCGAATATGTACAACTGTATTAGGTTTGGTTTTTCAAATTTTCAAAATCCTCACTTTATATTATTTACTATTTGTTTTTCTTTTTGAAACTCCTAAGATGAAACAACCAACCGTTGGGCAAGGACGGCTACAGTTGACTTGGTCTTCGTGCGATGGGGCCACAGATAAAACCAATTATCGACGTTAATGCCACAACACAATGATATTGTTATTAATAATATAATCTCAGCGGCAATAAGCTGTTACACGTAGAGAACCAAATATGATAAGGATAATTATGCTTCCCAACTAAGGATCTTTAAACAATTAATTAAATTTTCAGTTAAAAATAAAGATGAAAAATTTACTGGAAGCAGTAAAGAAAATTAAATATATGGACAAAGATAAAAATAAAGTATTTTAAGATAGTTTAACATTTTGGACTAGTTAAATCAAATGGGTGGAAATTTAAATTATGATATTCATATAAAAGAAATAAACAGAGAAAATATATGAATACTTTTATCGAAATTTCTAGTACTATCACCCAGGGATTTATATTTATAACATAATATATATGTATATTAAATTTTATGATTGGATGAATGAAAAAGTGAAAATAAAAATAAAAAAATAGGAGGTTCTTTCGTGCTTTCACTTATCAGTGGGAATGGAATCTAGGTGGATGCATGGGATATCCTGACCTCACCAAAGCACTTCATTTAATTAAATGTTGAAGTTCTTTAAGCAACAGAAATGCCAAGGAAATACAGTTCATGTGGGATCAAAACAAACAATCGGAAGCGACGAAACTTTGGGTGTGTTTAGTTAAACAGCTTCCAAGTGGCCAAGTCTAAAAAACTAATAGTGAGCAAGGCAACTGTCATTTTATTATCCCACTAAAACACTGATGGATGAAAATCAGGAGCATAATTACACATACAATCAATGTCTCAACATCGTAAATAATATAATAAGGGTCTTGGTAATAGGTATTCCAAAAATACTGGTTAAAGAATCAAAAAATAAAGTTTTTTATTGAATTTTATAATGTAATGGCATTTAAGGTCAAAGTAGAGATGTATTGATGATACCTATACATCATACTGAGGATTGCAGAGCCTCCTTAAGGCAGGTAACACCGACCTAAGTCAAGAACGGGACCAAAAATACTTGGATAGAGGTAGAATACCATAATCTGTAATATATTTTTTCACTGGGGAAGCAAATGCTTCTTAAACTTCACAATCAATACAGCAAGAGAGAGAGAAAAAGAAATAAAAACCATCACAAAGGATGTCATTGACAAATGATCAACAATGCATTTTGATTGCAGTGTTTGAGAGGAGCACGACAACCAGTGCTTGGCCTATGATAGGCTTAGTAATTAATCAGCAACTGCTTTCAGTGGGACAGGTGCTAACTCCAAATAGTCAAAATCATCTGTTATACCAACCTGTATGGAGACAAAAGGTGCAAGACATATAATAAACAAAGAGACAGGGATAGACAAATTGAATGACACAACTTAAGGCTATGTAAATGACAATTTTTAGCGTAGTATTTCACATAGAGATTGGAGATTGAGGCATTTAACTGAAATGACTGACCTCCTTGTACAAGTTTTCAAGTTGTTCCTTAGCCTCAGGGAAATTGTTCGAACACCATTGCCTCAGGGTGAAAATGTTGTCTACAAATTTTTTTTGGGCAACAAATAGAGATTATGTGTAATGTTATCATAATTAATGCAGTTAAATTTTAGAGTTATCACCATCATTAGGATTATAAAGGATTACAACCTCTTGTATCTATAAATAAATCTCACAAATAACATAAATATTTTCCTTCTCTACCTAACCCCTAAAACATCAACATGCACCGTTATAATAATGTGAAATGTGACATTTGACAATACGAGAGACTCCATTTCTGCCCTCTTAGATAAAACTCCATTCAGGGAAAAAGGAGAAAGAAAGCATAGAAGGTAGAACCTGTCCATCTGTTTGCCGATGCATGGGCAACTGCAATTGCTTCCCCTGCCAATGTTAATACCAAAACATCAGTGTCCCAACTACAAAAAAATGTTATTAAAATTAACCTTCCAAAACGTTAAAGTAATGTACAGATATAAATAAATAAGTCTTTCTTAACTCATTGCTTCGAAGGCAGCCGGATCATTATCTCTATACTTTGCTAACTCATCCTGAAAATGTCAAATATTATTAGACTATTACAGAACTGACATAATACTAATCATCATAGTTGCTTTATCAAATAATCCGTAAGCCAACCTTCAATTCATTATGCCTTTGCTCAATGGCTTTCAGATCTGCAACGGCCTCCTCTCTTTCATTCTGATAAAATTGCAATATTAAGATATATGATATTTGGGCCTCTTACTGATACAGAAGCAGAGCGAATTGGAATCTAGCAAGAAAGATGTCATAACTTACGGATTCCTCTCGCCCCTTCTTTAGCTCCTGACATTGGTCAACAAGTTGGGCATGCCGATTTTTACAGCTTTGTAGATCAGAATCAAGTTTGCGGTACACATTTCTAAGCTATGAATGAATTTTATATTGTTATAATTAGTTTACATCAAGATACCATAGCGAGTAAGCGTAGCGTAAATGGAAACACTAACAATAGAAACATTGCCAGCTTAACAGCTAGGGGGTAATCGGTAAGATCCTTTACGGGCAGTGACCAATTTATCAATATAAAGATGATACAATAGCACGAGCTTTATCAACATAACTTCACCTGATTACCAGCACAGCTAGGTAGACTCCAGAAATACACCTGCGAGGTGAAAGGTAGTAGGATAAATAAAAAATTGAGTAAATTATACTAACACTCCCTGAAAGATTTCGTCAAATCCCCCTGATATCCCTTTTTATTCCTAGACTAACTTTTCTTAATAATTAGAAATGCGTTATACTTTCTAATCTATATACATTGCATTGCACTGACACCCTTGCTATTCAAGACACACATTACTAATACCAGAATTGGAAAGGAGCATCATTGGTTTCGATGTTAACTTACAGAAGTTCCTATCTTATCTTTGGAAACAAGGTCATCATCCACTAAACTTTGTACAACATCTTTTACAGACTGAGAAATGACTCCCTTCTTGGGACCCATCTTCTCGAGCTCCTTCAGCTGAAACAACAAAAATACAAAAGTAAAGCATATAAACATAAATCACACGAGAAAAACACACACAGTTTTATCGTTTATTCAGTAACGAAGTGGTAAACGCTGGTGATTACCAAGAAGAAGTCTTGGGACTCGTAAAAGATTTGAAGCATCTTCTCGCGCTTCTCTTCCAAAGAGAGACCCCTTTTCTTCGACTGCACCAAACAAAGCACATCAGCCAAATTGCACTTTATGACATTTTCACAAACACGTTGGACACTGAGCTCCATAAAACAATTTGCAGAGAGCCATAGACCATTTTATGATCCGTTTAGGTTAAGTCTCCAAATTATTAACTTCTCATAGCAAAAAACTGAAAAAATTTCATCCACACAAAAATACAATAGCTAATTGAACTTAGCAATTCGCACGATACGGTACAAAGCTGTGATGAACATTAACCATGGCATAGAACCTGTTATAAAAGGATCAATGATCGAAAATAACATCAAGAATTGAGGCAGAGAGAGGGAGGGGGTTACCATTGCGACGGATTTCGGCGGCGACGGAGTGACGCGGAAGATTCCGATATCGCGATTCTCTTATTTTTGGCGGGAAAAATGATTGAGTAAATTTCGCAATTCATATTCAAAATTCCCACCAGCATATATATCATTAAGATTGAGAAAAAAATGAAGTTTGGTAAGAAATAATTAAAATTAAAAAAAAAAGGCCGTTTTGTTATGAATTGTAATTTTTTTATTTTTACATTTTTAAAGATTGGTAATTTCATTCCTTTTTTTCACAATTTTAATTTTTTAATAGTTCATAAAATTTATTTTATGTAATTTTTTATCACTTAATTCTTAATTATGTATAACTTCATTCTTCTTTTTTATTCCTAGTTCTTATTGCTTTGTACATGACATATTAAGTTTAGAAAAAATACGCGATATTTTTTTTATAGGATTGAGGACGGTTCATTCTTATGGTGGCTTTTTTTAAAATTAAAAATTGAATAAAGATATAGATATAATTAAAAATCAAAATTAAATTTTTTTATAAATTAAAAAATGAATATTTCAAATTCTAAATTACCATTAAACCAACTTTTTGAAAGAAAACTGAGACTAATTCTAAAATATTTTGTAACATAATTAATTGTAATGGATTTTTTTCTACATAATCCATTATACTAAACAATATGTACACTAATAATAATAATAATAATAATAATAATAATAATAATAATAATAATAATAATAATGTAAAATCTTAACAAAAATATATCTTCTAATTAATTTGTTTTTTTATTATTATATTATCTCTTTTTTTCTTTCTTTTCTTTTTCATCTTTACTCCTCCTCTCCTATTTTTTTTTATTTTCCTCAATAATATCAAAAACATTATCTACAAATATCTTATATAAGTCTAGTCAGCCTCTAAAATGATGGGACACGGTTAAGAGTTTTATTATGTAATTTTTGTTTCAATCTACCTCATTATAAGAGAAGAATGAAATGAATTAATCCACTTAAAAATATATATTTATATATTAATTTTTTTAAAATTATAATTGAAAATGTTATTTTTAAAAAAATACATAAATATATTATAATAATATAATTTAAATTATAAATATTAATTAATTAAGTTTAAATTATTAATTTAAATTATATATTTTAATATAAAAATATTTTAAATTTGAAATTTATTTAATAAAAATATTATTTAATAAATAAAAACTTAACAAATATTCATATAATTAAATATATATATATATATATATATATATATAAAATATTAATAGACTACTTTTCTAACTCGTCAATTTAACATTTGACTGATAAATCTATAGCTTATTTTGATTAGACTAATTCATCATCTTATTATATTTTTTATCAAATTATCATTTGACTGATAAATCTATAACTTATTTTGATTAGACTAATTCATCATCTTATTATACTTTTTATCAATTAAAAATGAGAAGAGACTAAACAGGAAGATATTGACCAATTTGATCATGTCTATCTACATGAGAATGGTAAAGAAAGAGTTTCATATTTAGATTTAAATTTGATATTTTAAATATTATATAATTAAACTCTAAAATGAAAATAAATAATAGTAATAATTATAATATATTTTTTATGTATATGTTTTTACAATTTTTTAAGTATTATCTGAAAATTAAACATTTTAATAATATTAATAATTACGTGTCATAACTATAACCAATTATATCAGTTTTCTACTTTAACTATCAAGTTAAGAACAATTAGAGGTATATTAAGATAAATAATTTTAAATATTAATTTTTTTTAAAGTTGATTGAAAAAATTATTTTAATAACTAATAAAATAGGTAATATAATATAATCGTTGATGAAAATTAGTATTGATAAAAACAAAAAGATAAAAATTAGAAATCACTATTGTGTTTAATGTTCTGAAGACTCTTTTTCCATTGGCTACTATTAATATTTTACATTTATTAGTGTATATTAATACTATTTTAGGTTTTATTATGATGTGTCACTGCCACTTAAATTACGTCACAATATTATTAAACTTGTTTTTAAAAAGGCAAACGAATTTAGATTAAACACAATAATTAATTGCTTTGCTTATGAAATGGTGTGATTATATTGAAATGAAAGCAAATGTGGTCATTGTCTCCTTGCTTCTTCTGCCCTGTGCAACATTTGACTATATAATGCAAGAATTCAATTATAAGAAAATTAATGGCCACCATTGGTGACGATTTTTGAAATCCTCACCTAATCCTACATCTTATTTTCTAATCGAACCACGAGGAAGAAACATTGGATTCAACTTGGTCTGTTTATTATGTTATTTTATTCATGTAATACCAAGTTTTCATTACTGCAGGTCCTAATCCAATTGCTTCACGTATTCAACTTCTTCATTTTCATTATCGTTAATATTTTAATGTTCTTTCTTCATAATTAATACCATTTGTACGTATAGTTAATCATATCTGAACAGAGTTTCTCATGAGATGTTTTCTCTAATTTGTACGACCCAATACGAGAGAGACTAAAACTGTTAATCATATCTTTCTTTCATTTTTCAGTTCTTCACTTTCTACCATGTGATCTAAACAAACATTATTTATTTTCTATCAGACTTCTGTTATCCACGTACTCTTCCTTTCCTTGATGCTTCTTTCTTCTCTACAAATTGATTAACTTTTCAGTGTCTGGTTTTGTCAAAACTAGCAAAGGCGTGTCCAAGTTGACACGTTCACATTTGAACAACTATTTTGTTTTCCGACCTTGTTTAGTCGCTTATGTTCCCATGGAAGTGCTTGTCTTCAACGATGTATAGCCGCCAATTTGAACCATCATAGGACAAGAGTTGATAGTGTCTTCTCTGGTATCCACCAATGGCTAGTTCGATTGGGTCCTTATTATTTCTGACACTTTGTGTTGTCCTCGTAGCTTTAGTTCATGCACAGCAACAAATAGGTTAGCATTTACCACCACCAGCGTAAGAATGAGTTTTGATGTGTATTTCTTTTTCTGCAACATTATTAATTGATGATGCATCGAACATATTCTCCAACTTTCCTCAAAGGGGTACTTATTATTAGTCTTTGTCTCTTTGTTCTTGTTTATCATCAATCGTGGAACTGTTAATGTGAATCAATGGATTCTCAAGACAATATAAAGTAACCATAACTTCGAAAATTTTAACCCATTTTGAAGTGCAGACAAGCTTAGTTTGTGTTTCTTAATCTTCTTTTTCTTTATGTTCAGGCTTCATAAGCATTGATTGCGGTGGTCCACCCAATCTTGAGTACACAGATCCTGTAACTAAAATAAAGTACACCACTGATGGAGCCTATATACAAAGTGGGGTTAATAAGAACATCTCCTCCGAGTATGCGTACCCAAAGAATCCTAATCTGCCAGAAATACTCTCAGATCTCAGAAGTTTTCCCTACGGAGAAAGGAACTGTTACAGTTTATCTGCTGTAAGAAGACGCGGTTTATATTTGATAAGGGCTTCCTTCTTGTATGGAAACTATGATGGAGAAAACAAGCCTCCAGAGTTTGATCTCTACGATGATGTCAATTTCTGGGCAACAGTGAAATTTAGAAATGCCTCGGAGGAAGTTACAATTGAAATAATCAGTTTGGCCCAATCAGATGTGAGCCATGTGTGCCTTGTGAACAAGGGAACAGGAACTCCTTTTATCTCAGGATTGGAGATTAGACCACTTAATAGTTCTATTTATAACACTGAGTTTGGGGAATCTGCTTCACTGGCACTTTTCAAACGATGGGACATTGGGTCACTTAATGGAAGTGGTAGATATGAGGATGATATTTATGACAGAATTTGGTCCCCTTTAAATTCTTCATCCTGGGATTCTGTCAGCACTTCCACGCCAATAAATGTCAATGATGATGGCTTTAGACCACCATTTGAAGTAATTAGGACTGCTGCTAGACCAAGGAATGGCAGTGATACTTTGGAGCTTTCCTGGACCCCAGATGATCCAAATTGGAAATTTTATGTCTACTTGTACTTTGCTGAAGTGGAGCAACTTGAGAAAACCCAGCTGAGGAAATTCAATATATCTTGGAATGGATCTCCATTGTTTGATTCCATAGTACCACGCCACTTGTTTGCAACCACTCTTTCTAATTCAAAATCCTTGGTGGCAAATGAACATCGTATTTCCATACGTAAAACAGAAGATTCAACCCTTCCACCCATTCTTAATGCAGTTGAGATTTATGTAGTGAGACAGCTTGATGCACTAGCAACATTTGCACAAGATGGTATGATGCTTTTTCTTAGCTAAAATTTGATGTGCAAAACCATTGCATACTGCTTAGCCCTCTTAGACTTTAATAAGAACAGAATCTGGTGCAACCGCACCAAACATTCAACAATCATTTTACTAGCACTTGTTTTAGAGGTTGAAAAATTATGCCTTTAAGTAGATTCAATTATATGTGAACACAGTTGATGCTATGTTCGATTTAAAGGATAGCTACAGAATTCAAAGAAATTGGGTGGGTGATCCATGTGAGCCAAAGAACCTCTCTTGGGAAGGCTTAAAATGCAACTACAGCACTTCACTTCCTCCCCGAATTATATCTCTGTGAGTAATCTCTTCGTATCCTTTTCCTTCTTCCATTCGGAGAGTCCTGATTGAATAAACCAGTTTTGACTTTTACTTTCTACTTTGATATTCAAGTTTAGAAGTAAGCATTTTCTTTTCATAGGAATATGAGCTCCAGCAGTTTGAGTGGAACAATAACTTCTTCCATTTCCAATCTCTCCTCGTTGGAATCTTTGTAAGTACATATCATACAAAATTCTGAGTACGCTTGTCACCATTATGCTTTGAGAAATTGTATTCATAAAATCTCTATACAATAATTTGTACAATAAAGAGTGAGATAGAATGAGAAGACAGAGAAGTATGTAATAAGATGGTTACAATGTGATGAAGAGAGTTAAAAGAGAAGTGTTGTAGAAAATTATTTTATGAATAATATAAGGCTTTAACCTGTACAAAATTTCACCATTATTCTAAAGAAGAATGTTTTCTTCATCATATATATAATATGACAGAACCTTCAATCTCTTTATTCAGGGACTTACACAACAATAGCTTAACTGGAGCAATGCCTCAGTTCTTGGAAGAATTGAAATCCCTTAAATATTTGTAAGTGTTTTGGTGGTGAAGGAGGTGGTGGTGGTGGTGGTATGGCCTGATATATGCAGTGGCAAATTGGTAAAAGTGGCTAATGCAAGAAATTTTTGTAGGGATTTAAAGGAAAATCTACTTTCGGGTTCAGTTCCTGTCTCTCTTTTAGAAAGACAAAGCGATGGATTACTTACATTGAGGTATGCCCAGTTATAATAGTCCTAGAGATGTTTATAAAGCCTGACTAGTTTCATTTGTCCTATAAATACCAGGAATCATGGTAAAGAAAACCAAGGTTGAAGTATGAACCATGAAGTACCTACATATTTATTTAGGTGTCATCAAACATTTGATTTCGTGTGTCATGCTTTCATCACTTTCAGGGTCGATGATCAAAATCTTGGTGACTCAGGAGGGAACAATAAAACCATTAAAATTGTTATTCCCATAGTGGTATCAGTATCAGTTTTGGTTGTATTGGTTGCTTTCATTCTCTTTTGGAAACTTGGAAGAAAGGAACGATCAGGTACTTCTTGCTTCATTGATATGTAACTGCTTCCATCTGATTCTCGAACCTGAAAAACAAACAAAATAAGTGGGAAAATCAAAATATTAACCAAACTTTAATTTACTTTCCCTTTTAACAAAGACGAGGAGATCAGTATGCTCAACAAAGGTGGAAAAACTGTAACAACGAAGAACTGGCAATACACGTATTCAGAAGTCTTGGGCATCACCAACAACTTTGAAATGATCATTGGTAAGGGAGGATTTGGAAATGTGTATCGTGGGAATATGAAAGATGGCAAAGAAGTTGCAGTTAAGATGCTTTCTCCGTCATCATCTCAGGGGCCGAAAGAATTTCAGACTGAGGTAATTAGTACCATATTCTACCACTGGATTATACTACTTAGATTCTAGGGAAATATTATTCAATATCAGAACCATAAAAAATAATCATGGCTAAGCTTTTGATGATGATGATAACAAGATGGCACTCATATATGTGCACATGGCTCGCAGGCTGAGCTTTTGATGACAGTTCATCACAAAAACTTGGTATCCTTTGTTGGTTATTGTGATGATGATAACAAGATGGCTCTTATATATGAGTACATGGACAATGGCAGCCTGAAAGATTTTCTCTTCCTCTCAGGTACTAATACACTGCTCCATATCCAATTTAATGATTTTTTGTCGGTTGACAGGGTAAAATTATCTTCTATACCATTGCATGATATTAAACGCCATTTGTTTAGTGAAATACTTATAGCATCACAGAATATTTAAACAAATAGAGCATGTTGCAATGAGATATCTCGTGGTTACAGATGGAAATTCACATTGCTTGAGTTGGGAAAGGAGAATACAGATTGCAATCGATGCTGCTGAGGGTGAGTATAACTTCATTTTAGAGGAAGCCAAAAGTGTCTTTCTTCAATATCATCACCTTTTACTTTCAAATTCTCTTGTCTTTAGACGTTTACTTATTTTCATATTGAAACCAAATGTTACTATGTCTCTAGATCATCAGATTTTAGTACAAATAAAAAGGAATATGTTTTGCTCCTTTTTCTATATTATATTTTGGAAAAAACCTCTCATTTGATTCACCCTACTAAATAATATTTCTTGGTTTATATAATCCAGTCCAAGTGCATGTTTTATATTTTTCATCTATGACTATGTCTCCATGACGAATACTTGTTACCCTGTAACTGTACAAGTGGTTTGGTGCAACTACATTCTTTTGCAATTTGTACTGATATTTGATGAATGATGTGTTTGAACATGAAGGATTGGATTACCTACACCATGGTTGCAAGCCACCAATAATACACAGGGATGTAAAGTCAGCAAACATTCTTTTAAGTCAAGACTTAGAAGCTAGGATAGCAGATTTTGGCCTCTCCAGGGAGTTTAGGAAAGATAACCAAAAACAAGAATCCAAAGTGATTCATAATGTTGCTACAAATGACAAATCTGCAGTAATGGGGACAACAGGGTACCTTGACCCAGAGTAAGTCCTTATCAGTAGATTCATTTTCATTTAATTAGTTTTTAAATTTTGGGGATAGGTCTTATATACGTGTTAAATTAGTTTTATTGTTGTATCATGGACTTGCTACAGTGCTCTAACTACATTGTCCATTTATTCAGGTACTACAAATTAGGGACCCTGAATGAGAAAAGTGACATCTATAGCTTTGGAGTTGTTCTGCTTGAATTAATCACAGGTCGCCCTGCAATATTCAAAGGCACCAGAGTAATGCACATACTTGAGTGGATAAGACCTGAGCTTGAAAGAGGAGAATTGAGTAGAATTTTGGATCCAAGGCTCCAAGGAAAATTTGGTGCAAGTTCTGGGTGGAGAGCTGTAGGAATAGCAATGGCATGCTCTGCATCAACTTCCATTCAGAGACCTACAATGAGTGTTGTCATAGCAGAGTTAAAACAGTGTCTAGCATTGGAATCTCCCTGTGACACTGAAACATTTGTGCCCCCTCCAAAACAAGTCTACACAGAATTCTACAGTTCATCTGAAACATATTCTTATGATAGTGAATCTACCACCTATCCTTTCCCAAGATAGCTAGCTAGTTTATTGAGATTATTTAATTGAATTGTAAATTTTTGTGAAACCATAAGAAGAAAAACACTCTGCTACTACAACAAATGGCACTCCTATGCCTTATTTGGTGAAAAAACAAATATGAACTTAATGGCTATGATGAACTTAATCTGTACTTTTTGTTTTTGTCTCCCTTAAATTAAACTTCTAACTCTGGGTCGTTTGCTACAATTTCCTATAATTTAAAAAAGTTATTTCACAAAATTTCTAATAAGTTTGATTGAAAATTATTTATTTAATATATAAAATTATCTTGTAAAATTTATTTTAAAAATCTTTTAAAGTTAAGTTAATTTTTATTACTTGAACATTATTTCTAAAACTTTTGCACTTGTCAAAGAAAACTCCTTCGAAAAAGTAATTTCTAAAAATGCTCTTGTTAAGGGTAATTATTTTAATTTATATAAATGAATATTTTGACGACACTTAATTTCATTTATTTTATTTTTGTTGTGTTTAATTGTTGACGTTGAATATCAGTTTAAATCATATCGGAATTTTATTTTTAAAATATTAAATTTAAATTTTTAAGTGATTAGGTTTCAATTGAATTGTATTTTAAATAAATAAATAATAAGTTATCATCTATATATATATATATATATCAGTTGCTAAAATATTAGGTTAGAAAGGAACGTAGATACTCAACTTCACCACATCACACTAACATCAATGAACAAAATGCAGCCATAACAAGAGTGAACACTCCAATACACGCAGTACTAGGGTTTCCATTAATCCATTCTAGTCATGTTTAAACAATTCTTTAATAAACGTAAACCAGAAAACAACCCTATTATCGTATTAGACAAGTTAAACAAGGTACATCTCCATCGATCATTGTTTCTTCTTTTGCTAGGCTTTGTGCTATCTTATGCTGTGTGTATAATATCATCATATATATCATTGTTTTATTTAGCTCTTAATTGTCCTCATGTTAAAGTTTTTTGGTTCAAATTTGTATTTACATATTGCTGCATTGCATCATGTAATGATATTTGGACGTTGAAGTTCGAGAGAAAGAATTTCTCAATTGAATGTTTTGTTCTTTGGATTACGCAGACGCTTAAAATTCTTGAGGATAAGGAGAAACTGCTCCTTTTAAAAGTGAAAGCAGAAAATGAAAACGCCAAAGAATTCATCAGGGGAAAGAACAAAAGGGGTAGGTTGGTTGCTGACTAATCTGCTTCTATATACATGTGTGTGTGATTTGAATTTTTGTTTGATGCAGGGGCAACGCAATGTGTGAAGAGGAAGAATTTATATGAACAGCAAATAGAGCAGCTTGCAAGTTTCCAGTTGCGTATTCACGACCAGGTGGGTGTGAAAGTAATTTTGTAGATAGTAGTAACATTTCAAAAGATGATTTAGTCTATATATTTAGCTTTTTTTGTATCTTATGCTGTTAGTTTGTGTTACAGATGATAATGTTGGAAGGTGCAAAAACCACCACAGATACAGTAGTAGCGTTAAAATCTGGAGCAGCTGCTATGAAGGCCATGCAAAAGGCAACGTGTGTGGTGCAGTGCTATTTTTATGTTTTAATACCATTCTCTGGCTTATAATGTTGATTCAACTAGTTTCTATGGTTTATGATTTTGTTGAGTTGCACCATCTTTAATTTCAGGGATATTGTTGATGTTGACAAGACAATGGATGAGATCAATGAACAGACTGAGAACATGAGAACGGTTCAGGAAGCATTGTCCGCTCCAATTGGTGCAGCTTCTTATTTTGATGAGGTCATCTTCTCAAATCAAATCTGTGCTATATTGGTTGCAAACAGGATATATGTATCTTTAGATTGTAGCATACATATAGTGATATTGGAGAAGTTATTAGATAGTGTACAATTACCATGATCCCACCAGGTACTTGAATACTGTTACATTAGTTCGGCCAATCTATTGCTACCTGGTACATTTTGATTACCTGATAATTCCTTAGCAGTGTTGTACTTTCATAGAACACAAAGCATTTATGTGGATCATTCTGAATTTATTTTCTTCCAGGATGAATTGGAAGAAGAACTTGAAGAACTGGAGGCTGGTGAGTTGGAAGAGGAACTTCTTCAGCCAGCAACTATAGCACCTGCAGTCTCAGGGCAGGCCTCTGCAGGATGGTCATCTACTCGACCTGTAAAGTCCACTACTGAGGTAGATGAATTAGCAGCTTTGCAGGCTGAGATGGCACTTTGACCAGGTCCATTTTCTCACCTAGAACACTCACTATTCATTTGTAGTGTTAATATGTTACCTATGCATTATTTTGTTCACTCCAACTGGTGTTGCATCTGTCATTACTACAGTTAAATAATAAGCGTGTACATATGATTCCATTTTCATGGTTTTGGATACTTTAGTTCGCATGTATGATGTATCTTACACTTGAGAATCTTATTCAGACTATTGTTCTTATTATGCAGACATTTTTGGTTATCATGACTCGTGGCTTCAATGAAGAATTGTAACCACATTATCCCACGAGTTCAGCATCTCTCCGGTTCCCTTCTGTCTGGAATCGATAAACACAACAGAGGATGTTCATAAAACTTGAAAAATAAGAATGAAAATAAAAGTCCTTACAAGTTTTATATTATTAGTTGGACCCCGTTTTTCTTTGCATTTGACTATTATTAGTTTCTATTCTATTTTCTAGCCGCGTTAACTTGCCTATTAGTTTGACACTTTATTCTAAATCATGCTCGCATGTTATTTGCATACACATGTGCTTTGAACATTGAATCTCGCGTGACATGAAAAAAGGTCATATTTTAAGTAATTCAAAAATAGTATTCTTTTGTAACTTTTTAAATTTCTACCTATGTTTTATTAAATTTTATCTTTTAATGTTTATTTTAAGCTTCTTTTATATAACTTTTTTAAAGATTTTAATGTTAATAAAAAAATCAAAATTTATATTTAGTATAATTATTAATTTATTTTATAAAATTAATTTCTCTAATACTGATAGAAAATGTATACTCACGCTAGAGGCAGAACTAATTAGATTAGTTTGCTCTATCACTTCTTACCCTAAAGAACATTAAGAAATTAAACATTATATACAAAAATTAAAAAAGATTAAAATAATGTGTAGAATGAAAATGAATATAATTTATATTCTGAAATTTATCTTTTAAAAAATGGAAAATATATATTTTTAAAATCATTTAATGAAAATTATTTTTGAAATTTTTGTAAATATAATTTAAAAACACTTTTTTTATATATAAAAATACTATTTTTATGGATGGATTGATATTCGTTTATAAAAAAATTGTTAATTTATAGATTGAATTAAATCTTTATTAAATAAGGAAAAAGAAGAAAAAGCAATCATTTAACAACTTCATTTAATATAATGATATTTTCGAATTTTAAATTGATTTTTTTATAATTATTATATTAATAAATAAAATTGTCAAATTTTGAGAATGAGTGTCGATGTATGGAACTCATTAAATAAGTAGTATCTTTAATTGATCAAAATACATTAATAATTTTTTTATTCCATCACATGAACTAAATGACAGGGCAAGTTCTGAAGCAATAGACACATGCATGGACAGGATCATGCATATATATATATATATATATATATATATATATATATATATATATATATATATGTTAATGTCAGATAGGAACTCCTTTTTCCTGTTTTGGAAATTGCTTAGGACCAACTCTTGTTTCATGGCCACTTAGAAGCAAACAAAATTTGCAGACCACGTGCGATCACTTTGTTTGAATTTAGACCCCCACAGACCCTCACTATTATTGAACAAATTTTATATCATAAAAAGAATACCATTGGTGAGATTCTTCTAACATGGAAAAAGACATGCACTACATCTTTTGACTAATATCCATATACTTCCAATAATACCATAATCCATAAGTTTGAAAATATCAGAAGCTCACACAATTCCACATACAACAACTACTTTATCCAGAAGTTTAAACACTAGTTAGAGGTATTTAATTAATCGCTAGTACTATATATAATTAAGTTGATCATTCCATTCCACAGTTTCCTTTATTTTCTGTAGCTTTGTTGTTTATTTCAAGTTTTTGATGAGTAGAATGAGTCTTGGTTAGCCAGACATGATGGAGCAGCCCGGCTGCTTTTGTCATCAGGAGTTGCAAACCCATGATTGATCAGCAGATCGTCAAGCACAAATTCAAGAAAATTTGGATCATCTTCACCTGCATAGTCGTAGCCAAACCATTGTGTATGTTTGTTCTGCTGTGCTAAGGAAGCTGCATTGGATATTAGCACTGAAACTTCCTTAGAGGGTGGTGCACTAAAACTGCTCTCCCCAGTATTAAATCCTTCTGATTCCTGAGGCATTGGAAGAGGAACTGGAATTGGTGCTTGTCCCAAATCCAAAATATTGTAGGAGTCAAACCAAGCTGAGTTCAGTTTCTGATTCAAGACAAAGGCCTCAACTTGAGGTTGAAGAGTAAAAGATGAGAATTGGTCATTGTCACTATTTCTGCTGACAGTGCCATTGTTGCAGCTTGTGGCAACAGTACTACTAGTGTTTCCTGCCAAGAACTTTTTCTTTAGTTTGGTGTTCCAGTGATTTTTCACATCATTATCTGTTCTCCCGGGCAGTTGAGCTGCTATAAGGGACCACCTGAAGCCAAAAGCAGTACAATGCATGCATATTCACACAATCAATAATACAGATCATACGTTTAACTTTATGTTCATACATATAAAGCAACGATAATGGACTTGCCTACTTCCAATGGTGCCATAAAGGGTGCAGATAACTCTGTCTTCCTCTTCAGTGAAACCTCCAAGCTTAATATGTGGCCTGAGATAATTCAGCCATCTTAGACGACAGCTCTTTCCACAACGCATAAGCCCTAAACAGAACAGATCTTATAATTTGAGTTTAAGTCTAACTCATCCAAATTAGCTGGTTCAAAAAAGGAGGATTAACCCTTTTCTATATATTTTAGTCATATCATTGATCAATGTTCACCTGTACACACTACACAGTTTAGTAGTTAAAGCAAATTTTCATTGCAATGTATGGTGTTTTATTTTGAAAAAAGCAGATAAGTTAACCTCGAAATGGATGAGAAAGAATTGAAAGAAAATAATAACTGATTCAAGAGATAACACAGGGAATGATGATTGATGAATGAAGAAACCTGCTTTTTTGGGGAGAGCTATCCAATTACCACCTGTGCCATGTTTCTGAAGGTAGTTTCTGAGGGTGGCATCTTCATCAGGAGACCATGGCCCTCTTTTGACGAGAGATTTGTCACAGCATGGAGCCCTTCCCATGGCCTACTTGGCCACTGAACTGAATATACCACGGAGAAATGATGAATGAGAAAGAGAAGAAAGATAGAAAGTGAATATATTTGGTGCAAATGGCTTGCAGAAGAAGATGTCAAAAGTGAGCACAAAACATGTGGTTATAAGAACACAGTGACATGGATTGCAACGTTTGAATGCTTGACTTTGTCTGACTCACTAACAGACTTGCCTCTTTTCTTTGTTTCCCTTTTGGCTCTCTTATACCTGCCCCTCTCCTTACTTTCTTTAGGGAACACCAAACACAAGTTTAATAAATTGAAGAATTAACAAAATTGATTTCTGCAAGTCTAATTTATATACTTTTTTTTTTAGTGAACATTTGAGTTTTAAAACGGAACTCTAATACTGGTGTAAGGTGAAGAACATAATTCTTATTTTTTAATCTTTAAACGATCGTGAATTTTATATCACTTGAATAATAGAAATGAATACTAGTTTATATATTTTTATTATTATTAATTTATTAATATATTTTTTAAGAATAAATTTACTAAAACATTAATCTAATAATATTATCATAAAATAATGAAAATAAGAAATCTCGTATAATTTTAACTAAAGTAATTGACTAAAATATTTTTTCATTCAAAAGATTTAAAATTTTTCTTTTTTTTCAATTGCATTGTGAATGGTGTTAACCCATAAAAAGATGAAGCCTCAGTTCTCATCAAGACCCAATGTTGTAGCACAAAAGTTCAGGTCCAGATAGTATCAGGTTTTTTACCCTCAAAAAGTCCATCCACTTTTTTTCAATATCTGGAGGTGAAAGCCCATGATCTTCTTATCAAAAAACAAAAATATTAAATTTAATCAATTTTATATTTTAAAAGTAAATAATATACAGAATATTTTAAAAGTAAATAATATACAGAACATTTAAATAATTCTGAAATTGTATAAAATTATATATATATATATATATATATATATATATATATATATAATCTAACTGATACAAATATGAATTTGAACTTAAATTTATAATTTATAAAAAGTTGTCAAAAGTATATCAAAAACCCAAAAATTGCACAGTAAATCCCAACATAAAGAGTGACTGAGAATTATGAAATATGATGACATCCATCCAACTCAAACCATAATAAAGTGGTGTTATCTTCTTTCTAGGATTTTGTCTTTTGCAATGGTGCCAATAACATTATTAATATTCTATTTTAAGAGATAATTTGTCATGAATATAGCCATGTATACATGTCATGGGTTAGTAAATTTTGATTCTTTTAATTTATTTCTATATAAATAATATAATTATAACATTAATAAATAAGATTATATAATGGATATATTTTGGAGGTGGATGTGAATATATAATAACACTGTGCAGTAATACATTGGTAGGTGTTTTCATTTTCATTACTGTATGCCAGTATTAGTCAATTCCATCACCATCTTATCGTCAAATGCTACAACCTCGTTATCTTGTCTGTTGTCTAATGATAATAATAATATAAAAAAAAAAAAAAAGTTGTTGCCACGTAACCAACCGTGTTCCCTTAGTCAGGGAATGCTACCAGACCTTCACTTTGGAGATGACAGGTTGGTTACATTTATTCTATGAAAAAAAATATTAATCTTTTTGTGAGTCACATAATATGAAAGATTGAACTTGTTACATTAATCAAGTTTCTCTGCTTTTAAAATTATGCAACTATGGTCTTCATGTCTATCTTCTTCTGCATAAACTTGCACACATCATCATTTTCAACACACAGTTCTCTGTATATTGATTCTGCATTACTGCATTGAAACCTTGAGACAATAGCATTCCTCCACCCTTTTTTCAGTGTTGTTTCATATTTGCCTGCTAACTTTCTCAAACATGGTCTCTCAACATGAAAAGGACAAAAAATGTTGTCTTTTATAGTTGTAGACAATACAAGTTACTGCAAGTATCTACCTTTATGTTCAGACCTATTTCGTAACACTCTAGAGTGCCTATAAAACTCATGGATAAGCTTCAATTTTTCTTTTTCTTTTTTGTTTTACTCTTTTTTATCTCGTTCTAAACATAAGATAAAAAACAATAATAAAATCTTCATTTAAAACTGAAACAATGTTCCCATGGTTTGGTTGATTAGAGAAGGAACAGGGCTGAAACACAAGGAAAGTGTCACCCATTGTTTTTGTAGTCTGTACAATTTGAGAAGAAAGCAAGAGAAAGTTGATTTTATAAAATTAAAAAACAAAATTATCTCATAAACCAAACAAAGTGTTATTGTCAGCATCTCCCAGGCAGGACCTTATGCATGCAAATGAAAATGGCATACTGGGACAGGTTTAACATAAAATGTACACCTCTATTATCATTCATATCAAATTGTCAATTAAGGATTGTGATTTGTGGAAACCCTTTAATTTACAAGTGTTGCCACCTTAAAGCTTAAGTACTATTGTATTGCAAATGCTTGACAATTTTGGATTTAACATTTATATATGTCCCCCAGTCAATCTCAGATGACAAATCTATGATGGTGATGACTGCATTATAGGCTTACTTTTCAAACTACTATTCCTGTAAAATTACTCAATCTCATCTGTTAACCTGGTTAATAATTTAAGACCATCACCTGTCCTTTTAATCAAGACTTGCTCAACTTTTGACCCAGTAAATTTTCAGCAATGTGGATGAGTAGCTTGGAGAATCTAGTTTACATATTACAACACATACCCTTTTCCTTTTCAAGAACAAGGGTATCTCCTTAGTCATCCATGTTCAAATCTTTTGTAAATATTTCAACCATTTTTGTTGAAAATGATCTTTTTTTTTTTCTTGTTCTGAAATTAGAAAAGCATGTTGGCTACCATTAATGTTCTGGTCTTTCAGTGTAGTCTTTTATCCTGGAGACAAGAGGAGTTGTAAAGAAAAGTAACCCTGCAAGGAAGGGTCACACAGTGACATCATCAATGGAAGCTCTCTAAAAATATCATAAGCCTCTTTACAAGTGGACAAAACTCACAGGTCACCATTTTCGTGTCAAAATGGGTTAACCCACGAGGTTGAGGAGGGAGAACGAAGAAGGAACTCTTCATTAGAATAAATACATTGACTAACATAAAAAAGAAAGTGTCATCTAAACATAACTTCATCATCATCTTACTAAAAATCAAAAGTCACTCTCCTAAAATCTCCCTTTCAATATATATATAAAACTTAACAGTGAATTTTATTTAAAATATTCAAGCCAAGTCTAAAATAATTAAAGCATGACAATATTTCCTTTCCCTTATAAACATTCAGGGATATAATTAATTAATAATGAATGACATTATAAAATTAAATTTATATTTAATAAAACTTACTATTAATTATGCTAAAAATTGTTAATTTCTCACATGTAAATATAAGAGAATATAAAAAAGCTAACTGTAAAGTAAAAGAATAACATAAGATAATAAAAAGTGTAGATTTTTCTCATTTATTTTTATTATATTTCTTATCCATTTTTCTGTTTCATTCTAAGAAATATCCTTAACATTCATTTTTCTTTCCGCATCTTGTTTGTTATTATTACCATGTTTCTTCTCTAACCAAAAAGGCCTATATATGATCTGCTGCTAAGTCCATACTCTCTTCCTGCCCTTTTTCCAAAGATGAGCTTGCAGCCATTGTTAACTTCTGGTACTGTTCAGCATATCTGGAATTTCAATGGCAATGATCTTCATTTCATATAGGTTCTTCCAATTTAAATATTCAACATCTAGTACACTCCTTTTGTTTCCCAAAATAACCTAAATCCATTACTCACATACCCTCAACAAAGTTTCAACCACAAAAAAGATTAGGCCATAAAGTTATGCACAACAGTGGTTTTTCTTGTTTCCCATCTTCACTACACAGGCTGAAGAGAAAATCAAATCAAATCAAATTCCCTTGGTAAGGAAAAATAGCATCCACAAGATCTTACTCCCAAACAATCTAGAGGAGAAAAAAAAGGTGAGAAGAAGGATGATGCAAAACAACTGGGATAAAAATATACATTACATAAGCAATTTCCATAACAAGATTGGACTTGGATCCTACATATTATGAATTTGTACATGAATGAGATTAGTGAGTGAAAGGAGTAACATTAAAAAGACACACTAAGCAAGTAAGTAACACATGATGAAGATGATGATAATTGATAATTAACAATAATAGTAAGCTAGCTATACAAAAGATTATGGATACTTTAGTTTCATCTCCCAAATCAATGCATATAGAAGTCTTTAACTCTTGATTTTCCAAGATAAACTCCCCAAAAAGAGATCCTCCTCTTCACTTCACCCATGTCCCCGAAATAAAATATTTACAAGTACTTAGACTTTCCAAAATAAATTTTCATTCTTCAATCAACCACAACAAAACGACATCACTTCACCAGCTCTGAAACCCACCCAACATCCGGAGCCCCACTTCCCTGACCCGAACCCGAACCCTCCAGAGAGTTTTCTTTGCTTAGCTTCTCAAACATCTTAGCCCTTATGCCTCTCCCAGACTCCACCCTCTCCATAACCGGTTCCTCCTCACAGTTCTGCTCCCAAAGATCCAAATAGTTCGCCCCAGACCGAACAGGTTGCTGAGTTGGGGTTGTCGGAAGACTACAGAACCCGGGTCGGAGCACGGATCCTCTGGGTGACCCGTAACACGGCGACCCGACCGAAACGTTTCGGTTATGAGGCATCGATTTCATCTTCCCAAGCTGCAAATTACGCAGAGAAGCCACCATCTCGTTCATCGACGGTGACACGGGCGGAGACTCCGGCGGAGAAAGAGAAGCCGCCGGAGACGACATGAACGACGTCGACTGTAGAACCTGTCTCATAGGAGAACCGTCGTAGGACTCCCCCGAGCTGCGAGGACTATGCATCGGCACGAGGCGCAGCTGCTCCGGTGTGTGCGCGAAGAAGCACACGCGCCGGCGGCAACTGGTGCCGTCCTTGCACGGCTGCGTGCGGTAGCGCGCTGGGTGAAGCCAGCACTCGAAGACACCGTGCGCGAACTCGCACGTGTCGCCTTTCTTGCAGCTCCCCTTGCGGAACTCGGGGCATGCAGCGCCGGAGTAGTGAAATTTGCGCGGGTCGCGGCGGCGCGCCTTCTCGCCGGGATGCGCGTAGGGACACTCAGTCCAGTCGTGCGACCTGCCACGCGCACATCGACGGACCTTGAACTCGTACATACGGAAATGGTCGCAGGAGTAGGCGTCAACCGGCGCGTCGGGTTGAGCCTCGGAGTCGGAGTCAGCATCCGTTTCGTTGGAGGGAAGGTAACGCTGCAGCGCCGTTAACGCTTCTTGAAGATAGTAGGGAGAGTACTCAGCAGCATTGACGTCGTTTGCTAAAAACGCGGAGTACATCTCAGGCGTTGGATCATCGTGGGTTGGCCAGGGTGGGACGTGGACCGTCGGATTGGCTCGATGGTGCTCTCCGAGCATCATTTTTCTGGTGATGGTTTTTGCTTACACATAGTCCGGCAGGGTTAGGTTGGGTTATAAACTGGCCCTTAACTCGCGTTTGAGCGTGGTTGGGTTGGCGGTAACCGTGGTTGGGTTAAAAAAATCAATGAACTGCAATTTTGCACTGCGGTTAAAGTAGAGGGGCATTTTTATATGACCAGGGTGGTGAGAGGATCTACTGTGACAGGCTGCTTCTTCGTTTGCCATGTACGTGGAGTGAAGTAGAATCGTTTAGCCACGTGGCGCGCGGTCATTGAAGGTGATTTTGATTAATGAACAGTTTGTTTTGTGTTTCGTCGTTTTGTGTCTCTGACGCCCCCGGGTCTCCGGAAAGCGGTGGAGCGTGTAATACGCCACATTATTCAAAGAAGATATATCTCTCTCTCTGTAAACTCTTTTTGCCATAATTTTAATAAAGATAAAAGGTTAGAATATTACAATAATAATAAATAAAAATGAACATAGTTTTATCCACTTTAAAAAATAAAAATGAAAATGGCAAATTGGTAAAGCCCACAGTGTGGAGTGAATAAAATAGTTTGGAATTTTTGGTGAAATTGAACCAATGGGCATAGTCTTGTTTTCTTTTCTTTTCTTCCCACTTCAACCTTTGGAAATTTCTGTTCCACTGTAATTCCTTTTTTTATTTATTTAATTGTAAATTTCAATGAGAAGATAAGGTTAAGAAAAATGTATAATATATTTGCAGAAACATCTTCTCTAGAATGCGAACATCTGATCTAGTACAAACTAATTTTGAAATGGGAAGTTGTTTTATTTTAATTTATAAAAATATAGATACGATAGTGAAAGCAGTCAACTTTATAAAATAGTACCAATTTGTGGTTAAAAAATGGTGCAATACAATGTTTCTTTTGCAAACTTTAGCCACAGTATGTACAAACCGATATAATATGAATATGAATACGAATATGAATTATAGAAGGAGAACAAAAGAGAGAGACAGAGTGATGATGGTAGTTTTAATTAAGGATCGTAAACGACACCGTACTTTTTTGGTCGATTTCCCAAAACGACATCTTAGGTCATTCATATCCAAAGGCTAGAGGTAAGTTATTGCATGAGGACGCCCCCACGTTTCTTCTCATGAGCCATAATCGAGGACGCAAACATAAATATGAGATAAGTGGTGGTAGATGAACTATGATAATCAACTAATCACCCAATTAAAGTTTTCCCAGAAACAGATTCATGAAGTTGAAATCAGAACCCATGATATTGAATAAATGATTGTGAATTATTATTATTATCATCATCACATAAATTAATTGTTATCAAAATCATATTCCGTGTTCAATAAAATAACTACATAAGATATTATTATTCAAGGGTGATAAGACTTAATAGTGCACGTCTTCGTTTATAAATTTTAGTGAAATACCTAAAAAGAGGTAAAAAAATATATATATATATATATATATATGTACAGTGAGAGCTTCGGTAATTGTGGTGGTTGATGAAAATTAATTAAAAAGTTTTTATCTAACGTCAATATCATCTTGGAGTTGATGGCTATCTAATCCATTACATACATTACTTGACTTTCATTTCTCCTCACCACACCCTTCTTCTTATCGTCTCCACACCGTTCCTTTTCTTTTCTTTTCTTTTTTTCTTTTTTTCATTTTTCAAGACAAAGACAACATAATCAGATGATCCATTGGGTCTACTCAAATTATTTACGCAATTTTCAATCCTCAAAAATTTTCTACCTCTTTCTCTTGCAGTCGATAATTATGGAGTTCAATCTTGTCCAGAAATTCTCATTAAGAAGATAACACCTCACCAATAAAAAGTTAAAGAGATCAAGTTATTCCGTTGGCAAATAATTGAGGTTATTAGATCAATTTTTGAAGCAGCATGATTTGGCATGATGGAAAAGGACATGATGAAAGCATTTGAGGAACACTGGGGAGTAATGAAAACATATTATTAGAAGCAGATGAATGCGTCTAGGGTAGAGAATGAGAATGTTTTATACCTTTGTGCAGGACATGGTTAGTACGAACCACCCATTCCCTTCCAAACACACCCTTTATCTCCAAATATTACAAGCAGAGACACAATCATCATCATCATGGTGCCAACAAAGCTTATGCAAACATTCAAAATTTTGAAAAAGTTGAAGAGAATATAACCTCTCAAGTTTAAATGCAAGTTACTGGTTAAGCACAAGTGATTTCGTAAATTGTGCTGTTCTGCTATGAATAAAAAAAGGATTGTGTTGTTATCAGACGTTAAATTATGTTTTTTCTTTGTTTTTTTAATTTCTGAAAAGGCGAGTGGTGAAGTTTGTAACAAGTCAAAAAGATCTACAAGAGACGAAAAAGATGAAGCCAATTATAGAGAAGCACTAAACAACATCACCTCAAGAAGTAAAAGAAGTGAGAAGTGGTAATCTCACTCAAACCCATTGTGGCTTCACAACACGTCCATTTCAATTAACGTCAATATATATTCCATCATGCTTGCAATATGCTTTTGCTCGGAACCGCAAATTGTCCTGTCACACTTCCTTCTACATGACGATTAATGTTCCATTTTGAAACTTAGGGGCATTTTTTGGATTGGAATATTACTAAACCAGATAAAAAAAGAGCTAGTTCTGAAACCAAGCCGCAAGAAACTGTTCCATGAAGATCTTGGTTAATTATCAACCACGAACATGGTCCATCAAGTTCTTTAACCACTTCTTTTTACATGTGTCAATGACTGAGTTATATATATATATATATATATTTTGGAAGAATATATTTGTGTTGGAATTTTGTGAGTGGACCACATAAACAAGAAATCATGTATGGATTGCAGGAGGTGATAATTGACAATGAAAATGTGATTGATGACAGTCATATATATTTTGGCTTATTGGTGGAGATGCATGCATACTATAATCTCCACCGCATAATAGAATTGTTTTTTTGAGTGGCTCTTACTTTCCCTGTCAAGCTTATGCTATGGTGGGGGTTGGTGATTATATTTAAGAACCACACCCAAACTCTTTAAAAACAAACACTCACTTCTAAAATATTCTGGATATTGTTGCTCTTGCCTCCTCGCCAGGAACCTCTTCCTACCAAACCTTCCACTCATTAAAAACAAACACCATTTTACCTTATTCTCATCCAAGTTTTTTTTCTTTTTACAATAGGGTTACACATTCTCTATATCAAACACTGACTTACTATGGAAGAACATATATGGTAGTGTTTTCTTTAAAGACATCGTCCAAATGAGGTGAAGTTATTTCTAATTAAGAATTAGTTGAGTTAAAAGCTGTTTCCTTATGGTGAGCATTGACGTGGTGTATTCATGTGGGTTTATTCGGATGTGAAGAATCCTTTTTGGTTGAAGAATGATTGCTGTCACAGCCAAGAGACGCAGAATGAGATGGGTAGGTGCTAACGTGGAGGATAACCCTCAACTATTAAGGATTCTGGTTGAACAAGAATCAATGTACATAACACTATTCAATTCAATTCATCACTACGTGGCATTGCCCATGTGAAAAGAGAAGGGTGTGTAGGGTACTAGTACTAGCACTAGCAGTTAGGAGAGACAATGCATCAAACAACGAATCCATCCTCAAAAAAAAAATGTTCCTCCACTGCAACTGCATACAGATTCCACTCATATTTCGCAAAATATACTCGATGATTTTAATCATTTTAAAGATAAACATTATATAAGAATTTCTCCAGGATACGAAAACTTTTATGTGCAGAAAAAAAGAAAGAAAAATTGGTAAGGTTTGAGATCTGAAATGAGAAGAGTGTGCAGAGGAGTGAGAAGTTGTGGGTGATAGAGTGGAAACGGTACACTTGGCGCTGGTTTGTTGATTAGGTGCTGTAGGATTACGCCACATGCATGTCCTTTCTTTGTCCTCTTACCCCATTCCTTTATTGTCCTGCACCTTCCTCCTCTTTCCAGACAATTCTATCCACACTCCAAAATTACTTTTCCACTTTTGTCATGCACGTTTATTTGCATTTTCTAAATAAATAAATCTTTTTACCAAAAATATCTCTCGTGTCATGGTCCCCTCCTTACAAACTAGAAATATAGTAAGGGGTTTCATGTTGTAAGGACCTCAAATCTTATCACTACTGTTACAAAATTCAAGTGAACAAGTCTCATGAAAAAGTTCAATAGGATAAAAATAATGCATATGAAAAAAAGAAGAAAAAAATTTGAATTTGAGTAAGAAAAATATTTCTCATAATAAATAAATGAAAAAAAAATAATTTAATTTTTAATTTTATATATTATTTTTATAAATTAATTATACTATAAAAAAAATTTTATTAATTAAATATATCCGTCTAACCAACGGATCCGACAGATTAACAAGAAGCATCACAGACGCCTCATTTTATCATCTATATTCATCATAATTTTTTTACCTATAAAGATATTAGAATTAATAATTAATTTTATGATATTTTAGTCAAATATGATATAGAGTAAGTGATGTTTAATCTTGGTAATAATTAATTTAATAATAAGTTGAATTAAATAAGATATGAAAATAGGTGGTAATTTATTGTAGTAGCTAGTTTCGTTAAATATGACATAAATGTTATTTTTTACAATAGTATAATTAAAAAATATATTTTTATAAAACATGTGTCATTAAAATACTCAATTAAAAAACATGTTCGTAATAAGAGATACTTTCGTTTTAAAAGAAAAATTATTTTAATATATGAAAACTTGTACTTAAAAAAATGTGTCAGTCACGAAATTTATTAATCCTCTTTCTATTATATAAGAATCGGCGTAAAAAAATAATATTATTCATAAATATCCCTTGATATTGATTTTCCCACAAAAACTCAACTACTTTAATCCAAAAAGAAAAATTATTTAAATGGTTGAAATATAGATCAAAATTATCATTTGTCGCTCTCAGTTTGAAAGTAATCATACATACATAAATAAATAAATATAAATAAAATTATTTCATGAAAAATGGTATGAAGAAATACATAGAAACAAACAAAGAGGTTACATTGAAAAACTTTCCTTCAAATTAATTTTCTCGTCAAAATTTCCTCCGTCGCATGTGGGAAAGAAAATCTTAATACGTGATTCTGAATACCGATATTATGGTACATTAGGATAAATAAAATAATATTATTACTTGTTGTTAACTGAAAAAATATATATAAATTTTATTACATGCATTATCGAGAGTCAAACTTTTTTTCCATGTGACATTTTTTGCCAACTAAAATCTGAATTTTAATTAAAAAAAGTTTTAATAATAAAGAATTTCGTGGGCAAAAATGCAAATAAAAAATTAACTTGAGAATATCCATTTTTATATTATATTAGATAGTGGTATTATGGGAGATATAAGATAATTGTTAAGGGTCCACACATTAAATAAGTAATGTGATTAACTTATAAGACTTTCTTAACTCTATTAAGCTAGCTCTTAGTGTTGTATTTGTCTCCTTTCTTAGCCTTTAACTAATCTTTTTTTATTAATTAAAAATTGGGTTATCTAAAACATCATGGGATTAAAATATAATTATAAGTCCCCTTCTATGCTGTGTACAAAATGTTATTAAATGAGATAAAAGTTAACCAAGAAAATGACTACCATAATCAACATAAACCTCCTTACTTTAAGGACCCTTACTTTAAACAATATTACTACTTTTACATTAACCAAGAAAATTAAAATATTGCATTTAATTTATATATTTCTTCTCTCAATCAAATAATTTTATTTTACTTTAATTGTTCTAAAAATTAGCACAATCCTTTATTTTAAAAAATAAAAAAATAATAAAAATTATGTATATATTAATAGGTTTGTTTTTGTCATGATATGGTAATTGAAAAAAATGAGGGACACATGGCCTTAGGGGAAGACTTAGGTGGGCATTGACCTTGATAGATAATGTAAAATAAAATAAAAAATCATAAATATTACTTCAATCTGAAATAAGATGTAACCCTAAATTCAATCCACGTGTCCCGTTCATATTTCATCATACACGTGGATTATGTCCTATTCACTACTTTTTATACGTCTCGAGATTTGTGTGATTCTTTATATTATATTATATTTTCACTTTTTTTTTTTTATCTTAATTGATAGTTTGTAAAATCTAAATCATCTCTTTATTTTTATTTTTATATATTTTTTAATTTTTAATTTTATTTTACTAATCCAATTCAAATCTAGAGAATTTTATTTTGGTTAGTTATTTTTCTTCATAGAAAATTTATTTTTTTCAAATAGTGAAAAGAAATTCTACCTGATAAAATAGAAAAAAAAAGACACGAATTCACCGCAATTAGGGGATAAATTCATGACCACCAAAATATTCTGTGGTCAGTATTTAAGATCATTAATAATAATTGTAAATAATAAAAATTTTCCTGTGTAAATAATAAAGTTCATTTGTTTTCATTCGAAATAAAATATTCTGTGGTCAGTATTTAATAAAGTTCATTTGTTTTCATTCGAAATAAAAGAATTGTAAAATTATCTATAATTTTAATCAATTAATTTTATTTTAAAAAATAATTAAAAAATGTTTAAAATTATAATAAGTGGAGCACAAAAATTCAAAAGTGAAGGTCACAAGTAAGTAATGATTAGTCAAAACTGTGTTTGGCCATGTGCAATGTCAAACAAGGAAAAAGTTTAAAGTTATTGACCTTGATCATAATAAAGGAAAATAACAACAGTGCTATTTGATTCTTTATAAGATTTATCTTATTCCTATTAATTGTGTTCTTATCCTAATCTTTTATCATGTTTTCATCATTAAATGAGTTTTAAACTCTGCATGAAATCCAATAACTTAGACAATTTTTCTCTTTCCATTTATAATAATATGAACGTGATTAATTGTTTATGTTAGTAATGTTTTTCAGTGATATTTTAAAGTGATGTGAATCTTAACCACAATTAAATAACACTGTTCTTTGCTTGTCCCACGGGGAAGGAATAAACATGCAGAATCACAGGATGTGATCACGGAGATAAACTGAAACATTTTGTTTTATTATAAATTAAATAACACATCATATTTGTTATTTAATTAAATTTAATTATTTAATTAAGAAAAGAATCTTATAAATTAAATAACACAATTAGAGTGATGTGATATTTTAAAGTGACGTGAATCTTAAATATTTTGTTATTAATATATTTGATATTATGTTTCATATAACATGCAATTATCATATTCAATTTCTTTTTTATATTTGTTTATTATAATTACTGCTAGTTTAATTATAAGATCACAATTATATTATAATAGGTATATACAAACGTAACCTGTATTATGAATAATCAAGTTATTTTTTATATATTTTTCTTTCTTGATATCAAAACTCTTAAATTTGAAGACTCTTGATTTAATCATGTCTTCCACAGTCAATACAAGTCAAAAAAATGACCTACCCATAACTATCTCTGTTAGGCTGGATAGAGATAACTATCTCCTATGAAAGTCATTAGTTCTTCCATTGATTAGAGGTTTCAAGCTTGATAGCTACGTACTAGAAACAAAAAAATATTCAGAACAACTTGTTATCACAAGTGACAAAACTAAGAAAGAAAATCCGGACTATGAAGAGTGGATTGCACACGACTAAGTTCTCCTAGAGTGACTAACAAATTCAATAACCATTGACATTGCAACACAATTGTTGCATTATGAAACCTTTAAGGAACTTTGGGATGAAGCCTTGAAACCTAACTGATGTACACACAAAATCAAGGACAATCTACCTTAATTCAGAATTTCACAATACTCGCAAAAGAGAAAAGAAGATGAATCAATATCTTCTCAAAATAAAGAACCTTACTAACAAATTCAAACTAGCAAGATCACTAATCTCCACCAATATATCAAGTATGTAACAAGATTGATCACACTGTTTATCACTGTCACAAGTCATACAAAGGCTAAAATCATAATGTTGAAAATAACAAGAAAGAAGATTATAGGGCTTTTATAGCCTCCCCTACCACGGCTAGGGCTATGAATGGTATTTTGATAATTGAGCTAACAATCATGTGACTCATTAAAATAAGAAACTCCAAGATTCCAATGAAAACAATGGTAAGAATTCTCTCATAGTTGGCAATGGTAAAAGATTGAGAATATTGGTTTCAGGTTCAACTAAATTAAATAACCTTAACTTGCATAATGTTCTATATGTTCTAGAAATAACAAAAAATTTGTTGAGTGTATCTGAACTAACTGCCACAATAATGTTTTTGTTGAATTTGATGCAAATAATTGTTATGTGAAAGACAAATTGATAGGGAAGACACTACCAAAAAGGGAAACTTAAAGATAGATTATACCAACTTTCAAGTATCAACTCTCAAGCGAATAAAGATCTATGTATCTATAGTCCAGGAGAATTGATATATAAAACTTTAACACCTCAACAATAAATTCTTAGAAAAGGTGTTGAAGAGTTGCAATGTGAAAACTTCATCAAGTAATCAAATTTCATTATGTGAAGCTTGCCAATTTGGTAAACTTTACTTGTTACCATTTAAATCCTCTTCCTCTCATGCTAAGGAACCTTTAAGATTGATTCACAGTGATATATGAGGTCCAACCCAATTTTGTCTCCATCTAATTTTAAGTACTATGTTCATTTCATTCATGATTTCAGAAAATTCACTTAGATTTTTCCCTCAAAACAAAAATAAAAAATAATACATGCTTTCACTCAATTCAAAAGCATGGTTGAAAACTAGTTTAACAAAAAAATAAAAGTTCTTCAATGTGATGGTGGAGGTGGGTTTAAACCTGTCTAAAAAATAGTCATCAAGTCAGAAATTTAATTTAAAATGTCTTGCCTATATACCTCTCAGCAAAATAGTATAATAGAGAGAAAACATAGACATGTGACTGAATTAAGACTCATACTATTAGCACATGCTAAGATGCCTTTACACTACTGGTGGGAAGCTTTCTCTACATCAGTTTATCTCATCAATAGATTGTTTTTAATCCAAATGAAAGTCCATATTCATTATTATTTGGAAAAAAACTTGACTATGCTGCCCTAAAGCCTTTTGGTTGCACCTGCTATCCTTGCCTCAAACCATACAATCAATACAAACTTCAATTCCACACTACACAATATGTGTTCTTGAAATTTAACAAATCTCACAATGGATATAAGTGTCTCAAATCCCATGGAATAATTTTTGTCTTAAGACATGTGGTCTTTAATGAGAACTACTTCCCATTTTATGGTGGCTTACTTAACACAAGAAATTCATTAAAAACCCTAATTGGAACAATAACTATTGTTATTTCATCTTGTCTTGCAGGTACCACTATAAGTCACACACTTTCAATTAAGATCAACCAACTCTCAATGCGCTTAGTGATATCTTCATCAATGTAGATAAGACAACCTTACATGCAAATGAAACACCAGTTGTAAAAGGCTTAATAGAGGACACACTAGTAAACACATAAAAAGACAATAACTAACAGACCTAGCAGGACAATATGCACATATGCAAACCAGATGCAAGAAAGGGATCTACAAGTCAAAACTGTCCTATATAAGGCTGATAGAGACACACACAGAGGATAAGGAACTAGAAAGTGTCAATGAAACACTAGTTAATCCAAGATGGAAAGCAACAATGGATGCAGAATTTAAAGCTCTAGTAGTTAATCACACTTAGACATTAGTAGTGAGTCTTTAAAACTAAGTACAAGGTAGATGACTCAATTGAGAGAAGGGAAACAAGATTGGTTGCTAAAGTTTTTCAACAGTCTAGACTATGATGAGACCAAACCGACGTTGAAAGTATGATTTTTTAAATTAATAATTTTTATTTATTTACAACCCCTTTACCCCCTTTATTTATCTAGAAGTTTCCCCTCTCTTTATATTATATTTTTATTAGGTCCTCCATCTCTTTATATTATATTTTTTAGAAGTTTATTAATTTTTTAAGAGAATTGTCATTAGCAGGATTCGAACCCAATACTTTAGAGTTGGAGGTCGATACTCCAACCACTAAACTACTAGAATTTTCCGATAATATCTTACAAATAAATTATATTTATATACAAATAAATATATATCCGTGTAAATATATAAATATATAATACAAATATATTTATATATTTTTGATATTTTTATATAGTTATATATTTATATGTTGGATGTGAGGGCACACTCGAAAGTGAAAGTGTGTGTCGAGTGGGTTTTCAAAATTTGATGCTAAATTTGTGAGCATGAGTTTGTAATTTAATGACGGAATATAATATTTATAATTTTATTTATATAATGATATAAAATAAATTTGGGAAACGCGTTATTCGCTCTCAAGCGAAAAATACCAATTTTCGCTCAAGCGAGACTTGAGTGAGTGAATTTCCGTGAGTTTTAACATATTTTCACTCAAGCGAGAGTCAATCACACTTTCACCCTTGATCGAAATATACCAATATAATTTATTTGTAAGTTATTATCAAAAAATTATAGTAGTTTAGTGGTTGGGATATTAAGTTTCAACCCTAAAATACTCGGGTTCAATTTATCGATGACAATTCATTAACTTAAGAGAATTTTTGGCTAAAAAAAATAAAAATACTTTCCAGAAAATATATACAAATAAATATATATCCATGTAAATATATATTTATTTGTATATAAATATAATTTATTTATAAGTTATTATCGGAAAATTATAATAGTTTAGTGGTTAGAGTATTAGTTTTCAATTCTAAAATTACGAGTTTAAAAAAAATAAAAATACTTTCCAGAAAATATATACAAATAAATATATATCCATGTAAATATATATTTATTTGTATATAAATATAATTTATTTATAAGTTATTATCGAGAAAATTATAATAGTTTAGTGGTTAGAGTATTAGTTTTCAATTCTAAAATTCCGAGTTAAAAAAAAAAATAGTTTCCAGAAAATATATACAAATAAATATATATCCATGTAAATATATATTTATTTGTATATAAATATAATTTATTTATAAGTTATTATTAGAAAATTATAATAGTTTAGTGGTTAGAGTATTAGTTTTCAATTCTAAAATTCGAGTTTGAATCCTGCCAATGACAAATTTTCAAATTTAAGTGAATTTTTGGGTGAAAAAAAATAAAATAAAAAAGACTTTTCACGTCGGTTCATATGGGAACCGTAGAAAGTACTTTCTACGTCGTCTCAGCTATAACCGACGTAGAAAGTATATTTTGTAGTAGTGAATTAGACATAAACAATGCATTCTTAAATGGTAATATCAAAGAACCTATGTTTATGCATCAACTTGAAGGATATATAGATTCAACCATGATCACATATACAAATAAAATAAGGTCATTTATGGCTTGAAGCAAGTTCCAAGGGCTTGGTATGACAGGTTAAAAGATACTCTACTAGAATGGGGGTTTCAAAACACTATGAGTGATTTGTCCTTAGAGGAACTGACCATATCGTACTCCTTCTCATATATGTTAATGATATAATAGTAACAGAGAGTAACAATAAGTGTCTATAGACTTTCATTACTCATCTAAACATTACTTTTTTCTCTTAAAGACTTAATAGGCCTTCTACACTACTTCTTGGAAATTGAAGTACACAAAGATATGAATGGACTGTACGTGAAACAAACAAAGTTTAATATGGAAAAAAGCTTCATGCTACCCTACACCAATGGTAATAGGGAAACAAATAATTCACTATTGAAGAAGAACTTATTGCTAATCCCATACTATACAGGCTATAAGTGCATTACAATATCTAACTAACACTCGGTTAAACATAACATTTTATGTCAATAAACTCAACCAATATATGAGTTTCCCAACCACAAATCACAAACAAGGAATAAAAAGAATACTGAGATATCTCCATGGCACAACAAATTTATGCTTTCATATTAAACTCTCAATTGATCTTGATATTATTGAGTTCTCCGAGGTATGATATGCTACTAGTATAGATAATAGGAAATTCATGATAGGTTAGTGTGTGTTACTTGGAGAGACATTAATCTCATGAACCTCAAGAAAATAAAAAGTGATGTCACAATTCAAATATATTGAGATAGATATTCACTGCCTACGTGCCCACAGTAAATATTGTAGATTGTTTAACAAAATCTCTCTCACACATAAGGATTAACATTTTGAAAGACAAACTTGAAATGATTATATCACCATCCATTTGAGAGATAAAATTAGAAAAAATTATAATTCTAATATTTACATTAATATTTTATTATTAATATCCTTGCTAATATGCTCTATGGAACATCTAACGTGCTACTATCATGCTTAATTTTTTTTAATATTTATTGATTATAATTATTACTAACTTAATTATATGATTATAATTATATTATAATATATAAACACAATCTATAATAAAAATAATCAAGTTATTTTTTATACATTTCTTTTTATAGAGAGATTCTACTTTAAATATTACAGTAATATGAACGCTAGACGAGAATGTTGAAACTCATATCCGTTAACATGGTTGAGAATATATGTATGATTATATTTTATTTTATAATTTTTAAAATAGCATTTGATAGGAACGCGTGAGTTGGGGTGCTGTCAACGTTGGTGGGATTTAGAGGATCTCTTCACCTGCTTGCCCGAAAGTGATTGTCATTCAATTTCAACCAAACACACCATCAACTAAATTATCAAACAACTTCCTCAAACATAGTTTATACTAAATCTATCATATCAATCTGCGTGCTGCTTCTGCGATTTCTTTTTCACTTCTTCGCCGAAACAAATTCATATATCCTTAATAAATTAGGGTTCTGTCCAAAGTTTATGCTGTACGAGGATGCCCCTTGTGGAGACCAGAGTATCAAATTTAATCATTATTAATTATGACAAAACTATATCAAAATTATTATTAAGTTCAATAATACAAAGAGTGAGAGTTTTGTAAGTTAATTATCTTACTCCAATCACACCTTAATTATCATATCATGACTTTTAATTAGATGATGAAAATATTCTATCAACCATTTATAAATAAAGTCTAACGAAAATTAATGTTTTAAAATCACATTAGACTTATTGGTTAGACTTATAGATGGAAACTGCTTTCATAATAAATATCTGCATTATGGGCTAATTTAAAAATTAGACAAAAAATGTATAAATGGTTTTTATTTTTTATTATTTAATTGTTTTTTTTCTCTAATTAAAACAGTGTTTTTTTTTTCAGTTTAACAAGTTCTTTACCTGAATAAGTCAATTATTATTTTTGTACAAAAAATTAAAGTTTATAACAAATTTGAGATATTATTCTTAATGTCAAAAGAGTAATGTTAAAAACATTGATTGTTTGTCATATCATTAACAAAATTTCACCAAGTCAACGTCTTTATTGCTTTTCTAAACCTAAACAATACTCAACACTTAAAAAAAATGTTCATTGTTTTAGGAAAATTGCAGAAGAAGAAAATAAAAACAACAGAAATAATATTTTATTTTCTGTTTAATTGATTTTTAAATGGCATGTTTTAAGAAAAAAGTTACAATTTTTCTCTGAATTACTTGTCATATAAGTCATCAAAATTGAATATGTCGATGTCATAGATAGATGGTTTATACTTAATTACTTTGAATCTCATAAAACAAACATAGGCAAAAAGGTAAGGAAGGTGGATATGATATGTTGCCTTGTCCAAATTGTTCTTAACAAACCACCTTAAACTTACTAAACCTCAATGTTTCCAAACACGACACATAGAATCACGTACTAATCTAACCAAACTTTCAAACCTCAGAACCACCCTTTTTGTTTAGAAATCTAGAATTTTAAAAAAAATGAAAAGCAACATTAATACATTGAAAAAGTTAAATTTTTGAACGATAATTGATTTGCAGAGAATCTTATAGAATGATGTAGTTGTAGGGACAAGTTACATGGAGAGTAGTGAAAAAGTGAAGTTATGGGGCATAGTTTTGGGTAAGGAATAAGAAATAGAATAGGGTAGTTATGCAATGAAGTTGGCCGTGCAAGTAATCTTAGAATTGTTGTACATGATTGCTTCCACACTGACCAAGAACATCATGTCATGCCTCTGCATGTGTTGCAATCTTTCTTAGATTTGGCTTGTGTTTTAAGATTAAAGCTGTCATTCTAAAAGAGGCTTAGATCCTTATCCATTTCTTCACCAACCTTCATCAATCAAATCTTTTTCTTCTCCAAACCAAAACCTTTTTCTCTTTCCCTGTTTTCAATAGGCCCATACATCAAATATTTTCTTTAGTTTTGTCCCAGTGGGGTTGGGCTCCTGGGTAAGATAGGTCTTCACTAAAAAAACTCAATAACAATTATTCTCTATTTAAAAATACAAGAATATAATAATAATAATAATAATAATAGGGTTGATGGAAAGAGGAAATTAAAGTTGGTGCGGGTTGTATGGTTGGGCAATAGATAATGGGCTGGACCACACTAATAGGATATAGCCCGTAACTAGGTTGTCATTGTTTCAGGCCCATTCATGATTCTTCTTTAGGTCATTAGTTTTTGCACTATTTGGTGAAGGGCTTTTTTCTTACATGTACCATTCTTGGAGGCAAGATTTGTTGAGCTACAATTAGATTCTAAAAATGGATACTTTATTTTTTACTTTTTTATCAAGGATTCAAATCTTGATTCACTATATTGTG